GGTTGGGAATGAGAGAATGAGGTTTCGCGCCCGCTTCTTAGATAACCGGCCTGGGGAACGAGCCCCATCCCTGCCCAGGAAAGGGGCCGCTTTTGAGAATCACTTTGCAAGGCCAATGCAATTCTTTGAAGTTTCCTAATTAATGAGCCACCGTCCACTACTAAGCATTAAGGGGCATTTTGACAACGAACCCCACAGCCCGGTTCCATCAGCAAACATCCCCGGCGCTGGCGGGTCACGGGACAACGGCATCTGACAGCAGAACTGTCAGTTGTGAATCAGCACCGCCAGGACCACGCCTGCGAATCAAGCCTTCTCCCTCTCCTCACAGCTGTCACCCAATTCCTACCGAACAGGGAAATTTGGCTCAAAATAAAATACCGCCTTAATGAGAAACTCGTCAAAACTTTCAGTGATAAAAACCAGCTTCCTTTTTAAAACAGGATTTGGGAAAAAGATGAACAGAACTCTAAAGCTTGTCTGCTAAATACAGGGTGACCCCCCCCAAAAAAAAATGTGCCCGCACTTTAACAGCTGGTAGCTGGATTTTTAAAATGAAATGGATGTTAATAAACGCTGCCTTTATAATCACTCAAAGTGCGTGTAGACGTTGTTCTAGGGCACCCTATACTTCTGCCAACACAGAAAAAACACTCCCAACTCTATGTTTCTTTTCAAAACCGGATTATTAACTAGATATGACTTCACCCTGGAACCTTCACTCTTGGCAAATCTGTGGTCCTCAGTAGTTCTCACCCGTGGGGAAGGCAGCGTCACCCGTTCACATCAGACAAAGCCCTTCGCTCACACTTGGTTTCTACTCTGACAACAGTTCACGGCACTTTCACCCCTACATCCGCACTCGTTTCTTTGGGGAACTGTGGAGAGACCACAGAATGCACCTGCTGTGTCCAGGAAGAAGACGTCCTATAGTAACCTGTCAGCACAGCACCCGGACACGCACGCCAGCCACGGGAGCGTCCCCACAGCAGAACCCGTGCCTCCTTTCACAGCATCTAATCAGACAGCAACCTGAAGTGATCGTCACCCCGTGCAATTAGGCCTCCACGTTCATCAGATGACAAAACCCACTGTCGTGGCTGCAGGTGGAGCCGGTGGGGGAGGTTCAGAATGTAGAGGCCAGAAAACAGAGACGCTGTTCAATTCACTTCCACGGACACTCACAGGCAAGGCCGCTCCAGGCAGCTCTTTAGCAAACGATAGTTTCAACAGAGAAAGATCAGTCTTTGAAGAATGTGGCTGTTTTTTATTTTTCTGTGTTTGCTTCTCTCTCGCTCGCACACGTGTGTCTACATACAAGTGTGTATCTACATACGTACATGAGTGTAAAGCTACATACATCCGGTATCGAGCCCGAGTGGCGTGTTTCTCTAGCTGTGTCCCTCTACCTCATATTGTATAATTACAACAGCAGACGGGGCTCCGTGGAGGGGAGCTGACCTCGTCCAGAAGCCCCCCGTGAGGAAGTTGAACACATAGTGTTAATTTTAAGAGAACAGTGTTTATACACAGCTCTCTGCCCCATGTAAATAAACCATGCTGTGGAAAGAACAGATTGATTTTTGCAAGAACCAAGCTCATAGGAACCACCATGCGCACAGTATGGAGTATGTAGAAGAATAGTTTAAAAACCTATTTTAGTGAAGGCAGCATTCCAGCTTCCTGCCCTGAAAAGAGGACTCGCTATTTGTCATGGACCAGCCTCTCACACTGTGAGCCTCTAGCTAATTCCTTCAGGTCAGGACTGCCCAGTCACAGGTTCCGACCCGACACTGTCCGTGTGCTCAAAACCACGCAGCATCCACGGCCCCAAGGAAAAACTTCTGGCTTGTCATCCCTGCAGGAGGGTCCAGGCTGTAACTTCTGTGTTTTTCACAGACATTTACATTATGGCGTAACGTGAGACCGCAGCGCTCATATAGGAGCTCGCACCACAGGTCTCCATGGATGCTGGGCGCTGAGCCCGGCCGGGTGGCTCAGTGGTTGAGCGTCGACCTATGAACCAGGAGGTCACGGTTCCATTCCTATTCAGGGTACATGCCCAGGTTGCAGGCTCGATCCCCAGTGTGGGGCGTGCAAGAGGCAGCCGACCAGTGATTCTCTCTCCTCATTGATGTTTCTCTCTCTCTCTCCCTCTCTGAAATCAATAAAAATATTTTTTTTAAAAGAAATCTGCTCCGGCCCTCGCTCTGGCTGCACTCCTTCCCGTCCCGACAGGCAGCTGAGGCTGGGACCTGAGCGCTGAAGCAGCAGGTGGCAGGAAACCAGAGAAGATTCAGTTCAAGGCTTAATTTGATTGGGGAGGAATGAATGGTAATGAAATGATTTGAAGAAGAAACCCTTCATTGTGAATGTGGACCTAAAATTTTGCCACGACGCAAGTGAAACTATAAAGAAATCATTATTCAAAATTCACATTTTACAGCCATAAAAACCTGTCCGTTAAAAAAAATGTGTATGCCTTGCTTTTATTTCGTTCTCTTTGTAAAACGACGACGAGTGACTGTGCCAAGACCGCAATGAAACCATTTAATACCCTTTGCACCCCCTGCACGGGACCAGACGCCTGCTCTCATCCTCGCGGCTCCTCCCCAGGAGAGAAGGCTGCCTCCTGCCTGCAGGGCTTGCAGAGAGCGCACTCCAGAGAGCTCACTCCAGAGCCTGCGCTCCGTCCACGGAGCTCTGCAATGAGCGCCTTCCTCCCTCGCCGATGCAGACAGACGCGTCCATGGAACCTCGGTGGCCTTGGTCCTGCGGCTGGCTGCTGCGCCCACGCCCATCACAGGCAGGCCACACACGAACACCCACAATTGAATGCGTAAAACTCCTATTTATAGCCAACAACATGGAAAAACGTAGGTGTGAGAGCCAAAGCACACTAGCGTCGTAGTACCGTTTCCAACCCGCACTAGAAAGACTAGCTCTGGGCAGAGCAGCCCTGGCGGAGAACGTCTGCGTCCCCAGGACGGCCTCAGCCACGTCAGCCCGAGTCCCGCAGGTCGCTGTCTGCGACGCGTGAGGGTGAGCCCAGCAGGAGTCAGCTGCGGGCGGAGTCACGTGATGGTACCTTCTGCACGAGGCTGGCATCCCGGTCGCCAGGTGTAGGTTTCCCACAAAAATAAAAGGTAGAAAAGTCCAAGCAGCGAGACGAGCGTCTGTGGGAGGGGCAGCTCCGGGCCATCAGTCGTCCGTCTTCACAGGCAGCTTCTCCGAGGGGCTGGGGGCCACCGGCGGGGACGGGGCCCAGGCGGGGTTCTCCTCCCCGCGGATCACCTTCTCCCATTGGTTGAGGTTGTTCCTAGGACAGACGGGGCGGCAACACACGCTGCTTACTCGGGCCCTGGGCTGGCCTCACGCTGACCTAGCCCTGTGGAGGCTCCGCCCAGGGCTTTGGGGGCTGTGCTGACTCTGCTGGTAACTTGCTTGCTAGGCCGGCAGGCTCCCATTCGCCTCCCTGACTGGACACGGCAGCTCAGTGCCCCAGGAGAGCCTGAAGCCACCTCAGCCTGGGGAAGGGGCCCGGGTCCCAGACGGCACGGGCAGGAGGCCAGCGAGGCTCAGACAGATCATGTCACCCAGTTAGAAGGGGCGGCAAAGCGGGGATGTGCTGTCAGATGACTTGCTGAGGAACGTGTGGTACCTTTACACACGGGATACTATGCAGCTGGGAAAAAGAAGGCTCTCCTACCCTTTGAGGCAGCATGGAGGGACCGGAGAGCACTATGCTAAGGGAATAAGCCAGGCAGAGAAAGACAAGTATCACATGATCTCACTTAGGTATGGAATCTAATGAACAAAATAAGCTGATGAACAGAACCGGAGGCCTGGTCCCAGGACGGACAGTGTCAGAGCAGGGCTGGGATCCTGGCGGAAAGGAGGGAGCTGACCAATGTGCACAGCTCGTGGACACATACCAGTGGGGGCAGAGGAGGTGGTGGGGTGGGGAGGGGCTTAGCGAAGGGGGCACCTGTGACCGTGTCAACGTAAGAGCCTGCGCAGAGTCTGAGTCTCTCCCCCGAGGCGTACGCACCTGCAGGCCCTGAGGAGCGGCTCCGTGGGCGGGAAGATCCGGGTGAGGGTGGTGTAGCAGGGGATGGCCACCGCGTTGTAGAAGCCGAGCTGCCCGCGGAGCCACCGGCAAGAAACACACACGTTAGCCACCAGCAGCACGTGTCCCCCCAGGACGTCCTGTCCCTAAGCCGGGCTGCGCGAGACCGGGCGTCACACACTCTAGAAGCGAAGCCCAGGGCAGCCTACAGCATATCAGTTCCTGTAAACCCAAGCACCACCTTCCGTGGGATCGACTTTGGATGAAGCAGCTGTGATCCAGGTGCCGTTCTTACCTCTGGTCAGATCTGGGGTCCCCAAGGCGTGTTCAGGTCAAGCACCTGCCTCTACAGAGCCCTCACCACCCTCCCGCTCGGGACCACAGCCGGGTCTGTTTGCTTGTTGGCCTGCTGGCTCTGGTGCCTCGTTCTCTCTCCTGATGCCACACTCAGCCCCACTCCCTTGCCTGACCCACTACAATCCCATGCACTGGATCCCAGTCCTCTCAACCCGTCAAATCCCGTTTCCCGTGGCTTCCCAATGTCTTTGAAGAAAACAGCCTTCTGTGGGATGTGCCGGGGGGAGAGAGGTGCAGAGCGACTGGTCCTTGCGCGTCCTCCTGCACTCACACCCCTTCCTAGCTCGTGCCTACACATTCCCACCCTCCACCGCGGCCAGGCGGAGGCCTGCCTGCCTCTTTAACATGGAACAGCCTCACGGAGCACGAGAGCGGGGAGAAGGCAGGTGCTGGAGACAGGCCTGTCAGGACTGCGGCAGAGCAGCACTGCACAGCCATGGCCATTTAGAAGCAACGTAGTTGGTCACGGATCAGGTGACCACACAAGTGCTTTATCTACAACACTCTCACCCTGAAAATGAGCCTGTGATGTTTGGGAAAAACAAACTGTTCTCTTAATTCAGGAACACGAGACTCAGCCCCATCTCGGAGTCATGGCCAGCGCCCTGTGCCTTCTGCTCCGATGACCGCTCAGCTCTCCAGGAAGAAAAGCATCGTGAGGCCCCGGCCTTAAACCACACACCAAGCAAACTCCCAACGAACTCCCCACCCACGTGAGGGTGAGACAATGCGTGGAAAGCCCACGTGGCACGAGGGGCGCCATCTCGGGACGAAAAGCCTTTCCCACAGGCCCTGCGTGGGAGCCCGTAGACAGACGCCAGGCTGGAGAGACGGGCCCCGCGACCCCACAGGGAACGGGCCATCAACAACGGGAAAGAGCCGCTAAACTCAGAGTCCGTGCAGCGTGCATGTCAGGCATGCAGGTGCACATCCGCCCAAAGGGGAGGGAGCAGCCCTTTCGAAAGCCCGGCCAAGGACACAGGGCTCTGCTCAGAGGCCATGGAGACGCAGGAGCCTGCAGCTCCCGCTGGGCCGGCGCCCTCCACGCACACACACTTTTATGAGCAGTCAACAAACCAACTTCAAACCAAGTAGGAAACTGGAGAACTTAGTCAAAACCATCATCCTGTAGCCGGCCGGCGTGGCTCAGGGGATGAGCGTCAACCTATGAACCAGGAGGTCAGGGCTCCGTTCCCGGTCAGGGCACAGGCCTGGGTTGTGGGCTGGATCCCCAGTGTGGGGCGTGTAGGGGGCAGCCAATCAGTGATTCTCTCTCATCATGGTTTCTCTCTCTCTCTCTCTCTCCCTTCCTGCCTGAAATCAATAAAAATATATATTTTAAAAACACCATCATCCTGTAAATCTTCTGGAATTATTTCTACCCTTAATTCCATATGATAACTATTTGTCCAGAATTAACTTCCTAATTGTGGCATTAGAGGGTGGGGAGTTAAAAAGGCCATAATCTTGTGAAAGTCATTACACCACACATGGGCACATGGAAAGTTAACAAGGCATGAGAACTCTCAAGACATAAAAAGTCAGTGTAAGTTAAGTATTTTATGTATGTTCCCTGGAGAGGGAATGGTAGTCAATTTATGGCGAGATAAAACTCGAATGTACTAAAAGTCTATGCCAGGGGTCCTCAAACTACGGCCCGAGGGCCACATGCAAATACAAATATTGTATTTGTTCCCGTTTTGTTTTTTTACTTCAAAATAAGGTATGTGCAGTGTGCATAGGAATTTGTTCATAGTTTTTTTTCAAACTATAGTCCGGCCCTCCAACGGTCTGAGGGACAGTGAACTGGCCCCTGTTTAAAAAGTTTGAGGACCCCTGGTCTATGCATTATTTCTTAGGAAAAGTGGGCCTAATCAAAATCTATGATGCTAACCTCCAAAAAGTACCTGTTCATTCAATGACAAAATGTTTCCTGCGTGAAAAAAATATTCACAAGTGCACTCCTCCACCCGGATCTCCCGTCAGGAGAGGTGTGTTCGCCGCACAGCGTCTGTGGGAGGGCCTGCCCACAGGTGGGCGTGGACTCGGGTTCCCAGTCAGGTCCTTAGGCTCCCCACACGCCCTCAGTGGGGAGGCTCCGCGTGGCTCACGGTTCCGCCCTCTGAACATGACCCCCCCGCCCGCCTACACCCCCGCCCTGCCCTCAGCCTCCAGGGTCTCGGCAGCCTGGGCACTGCACAGGGTGGAAGCACCAGCCCGGAAGAGCAGGCTCGGCCGGCGTCCACTGCGAGGGAGCGCCTGAGCTCTGGGCCTGCAGGCTCGGCTCCGGCAGTGAGTCAAGGGCAGAGAGGAGGCTTGTCAGGCGCTCGCGGATAAAGACCCGCAGGAGCCGCCGTGCACAGGGACACAGATGGGAATGCTTTATCCATGTCCGACGGCACGGCCGCCTCACGCTCCCGGACGTCCCCGCATCATACCTGGCCTTGCGGGACCTCATCCCTCTTGTCCCGGTCCATCATGGGAATGGGCTGGATCCCCAGCTTCTTCATCTCGTCGCCCTGAAAGGAGCAGGACAGTCATGTCTCACTGCCAAGCAGGCGCAGTGCTCACGGCTCCTCCCTCTCGTCACTCATTTCTTCACGATGCACCTGCTTGTGGTGACCGACATGACAAAGCCCAACAGTGAAAACCGCAGCGTCGCCCTCTGGTCTCTATTCTGAGGCCCCTCTGCACGCACTGCCCAGAACCCAGCTGCCTTTGTTCCCTGTGCAGGAGGCAGACGTTTCGTCAGAGGAGTGGAGAGAACTATGGAGCAACTCCAAGCCCGTCCCCTGGCGCTTCCCGCGGTGAAGCTGGGCCAGGGGAGGGACACGGGTCCAGAGCGTGTTGGTGCAGATGCGTCGCCGTAAAGGCCCAGCCACAGACGCTCACTGCAGACGGCTGTGCTGCCAGCTCTGGGCGAGCAGCCTGTGAACAGCATGAGCGGAAGTGCTGTCACACAGGCAGGGCCTCGGACTGTGGAGCCACGCGAACAGGAGAGGACATGCTGCTCGCTCGGGGACGACACGCGAACAGGAGGGCATGCTGCTCGCTCAGGGACGACACGCGAACAGGAGGGCGTGCTGCTCGCTCAGGGACGACACGCGAACAGGAGGGCGTGGTGCTCGCGCAGGGACGACACGCGAACAGGAGGGCGTGGTGCTCGCGCAGGGACGACACGCGAACAGGAGGGCGTGGTGCTCGCGCAGGGACGACACGCGAACAGGAGGGCGTGGTGCTCGCGCAGGGACGACACGCGAACAGGAGGGCGTGGTGCTCGCGCAGGGACGACACGCGAACAGGAGGGCGTGGTGCTCGCGCAGGGACGACACGCGAACAGGAGGGCGTGGTGCTCGCGCAGGGACGACACGCGAACAGGAGGGCGTGGTGCTCGCGCAGGGACGACACGCGAACAGGAGGGCGTGGTGCTCGCGCAGGGACGACACGCGAACAGGAGGGCGTGGTGCTCGCGCAGGGACGACACGCGAACAGGAGGGCGTGGTGCTCGCGCAGGGACGACACGCGAACAGGAGGGCGTGGTGCTCGCGCAGGGACGACACGCGAACAGGAGGGCGTGGTGCTCGCGCAGGGACGACACGCGAACAGGAGAGGACATGCTGCTCGCTCAGGGACGACACATGAACAGGAGAGGACATGCTGCTCGCTCGGGGACGACACGCGAACAGGAGGGCGTGCTGCTCGCTCAGGGACGACACGCGAACAGGAGAGGACATGCTGCTCGCTCGGGGACGACACGCGAACAGGAGGGCGTGCTGCTCGCTCGGGGACGACTCAGAGGAAAGCTGAGGTCTCCGCCAGGACAGGTGTTCACACACCAGTGCTTCCTGTGCTGGCTCCCAGGCCGGGAGAGTCGGGCACGCGCTGTGGACAGGAGCGCGGACAGCCCCTGGCCTGTGGGACAGCGCGACCCCCTCGCATTTCTACCTGCACTGCCCATGACTGCGGTCCCCCCCGGCGCCTGGACAGGGCCTGTCCCCGACAGATGAGCATGATTACTCCTGAGGGAGGGAACCATTACTCCACGAGGAAAAGTGTCATGTTGTCCGGAAACAGTCCCTTCCGGGTGAATCAGAGCTGACGCACACACTCGTCAGACGCAGGAACCCCTGTGCTCACCTTCTGTGCGAACGCTGAGCCCGTCGGTGTGTGACCGACCGCAGCCTTCTGAAATAACTTGCAACGTGAGCACCTAACGTAGTGTTACTAAATCACCCACATGTTTACTTGCTCTTCGTTTTTCCCATTTCTTGACATTATTGAGTCATATGAAAACCAACGACCTACCTCAGCCCAGAATTCTGCGTAAATGTCATTGGCCGTCAACTTTGTAACTGGCCACAGTTTTGTCACAGAACAAAGGTCACAGGCAGTCATCATCAAGCCAATGACGCGGTCTCTAGAACAGAGGACACAGAGCAGTCAGCACTGCCCACCTGTGACGAGGCGGGGTCTCCAGGGCACGGGGCACAGAGCGGTCAGCACCACTCATACTGGGGAAGGGCCTACCTACATGGCCTCATTTTACCTTAATTTCTCCTTAAAAGTCCTATCTCCAATGGTAACGTGCTGGGAATTAGGACTTCAGCCTGCAGCCACTTTCTACGCCAACGTGAGTCTAGCGTGAGCCTCCTGCACGCGCGGGCCTGTCTGTCCACACTAACACCGCGCACTGTCTGACGGCTGTCACTTTACTAGTACAGGGAGCCTCATGTCGGGTCAAGGTCTGCAGATCTGGCTTCTGCTTTGTCAGCTGTCTTGACGGCTCCAGGCCCTCTGGACAGCACACCTGGGAGGCACTGCCACTCCGTTCACAGATGAGGACTTAACATAACTGACAAGTGTGTGGGAACCTTCAGGGAAATACATATTTGGCTACAAGGGGTGAAGAAATTGGGAAATTTTACGAGAGATACAGAAGCTATAATAATGAGCCAAAAAGAAATCTCAATCCTATATAATAAAAGCGTAGTATGCAAATTGTCCCCTCGACCGGGAGTTCGTCCAAGAGTTTGACCAGGGGGCGGGGCTGGCCGGGGAAGAGGGAGGCCCTGGCTGGCAGCAGCAGGGACCCTACCAGTGCACGAATTTCATGCACTGGGCCTCGAGTATATAAAACAAAACACTGACTGGAATGAACGACCGATGGGAGAGGACATTTGAAAGGACCAGTGGCACTCCAATGGATCCCCCAAGCACCAAGCACTCCTGGGCTCCCCCACGCTGCTCAGGACATGCACCTGTGGGACTGGTTGTTGAGGTTCAGCGAGCCCGTCTGGTGCATCTCCTCCAGCTGCTTCCTGTTGCCGAAGTAGAGGGCGAGGTCCGTGGCGATGATGGCTTTGCGGATGATCTCCAGCACCTGCTCGTACTCGCTGGAGCTCAGCGTGGAGAAGATGTTGTGCCCTTCCAGCTGTGGAGACAAGCACACCAGTGACAGGCACCTGCTCGCACCCCCGACGCTTTCAGTTCCTCCAAACAAGAGCAGGTCACAGTTACACAGAGTTTATCCTTGTGTTATGACTTGTTAATTACTGTTATCTTCCACAGGAACAACTGTAACCTACTGTATAGTCAGCCAATGGCATTGGGCACACAAATGACCAGGCGTGGGGGGAACAAAACACCAGAGGGAAGGGGTTCCCAGAGGGAAGGGGTAGGCAGTAAAGGGTTAAGGGGGTCAAATATATGGGGATGGAAGGAGACATGACTCTGGGTGGTGGGCACACAGTGCAATATACAGATGATGTCGCGTAGAATTGTGCACTTGAAACCTATAATTCTATTAACCGATGTCACCTCAATAAGTTTAATTAAAAAGATAACTTAAAAAGAAGAGTATCTATGAAATTCTAATTTTCGTATCCACAAATAAAGTATTACTGGATACAAAAATATGTTTAAAGCTCCAATTTCACATCCTACCTAATAAAGAGGTAATATGCAAATTGACCATCACTCCAACACAAGATGGCCATCCCCATGTGGCCACAGGATGGCCGGCAGGGGAGGGCAGTTAGGGGTGACCAGGCCTGCAGGGGAGGACAGTTGGGGGGGACCGGGCCTGCAGGGGAGAGCAGTTAGGGGTGACCAGGCCTGCAGGGGAGGGTAGTTAGGGGTGACCGGGCTGGCTGGGGAGTGCAGTTAGGGGCAATCGGGCTGGCAGGGGAGGGCAGTTAGGGGTGACCAGGCTGGCAAGGAGAGAAGTTAGGGGTGACCATGCTGGAAGGGGAGGACAGTTAGGGGTGACCAGGCTGGCAGAGGAGGGCAGTTAGGGGCAATCTGGCCGGCAGGGAAGCAGTAAGGCATTGATCAGGCTGGCAGGGAGTGGTTAGGGGGTGATCAGGCTGGCAGGCAGAAGCGGTTAGGGGCAATCAGGCAGGCAGGCAGGCAGGCAAGCGGTTGGGAGCCAGCAGTCCTGGATTATGCGAGGGATCCCAAATTGGAGAGGGTGCAGGCTGAGCTGAGGGACACACAGCCCCCTCTGTGCACGAACTTTGTGCACCGGGCCTCTAGTTAGTTAATAACTTAAAACCTCATGAAGCAATACAATACATTTATATCCCAATTGGTAAAGAACTGTAAACTCAAGAATGTTTCTAAAGCCCCAAATGGGTGAGCGGCCCATACATTCTTATCTCCACGGAAGCAGGTGAGTGGGTTCTGTAGGTCCTCCAGATCCTAAGGTCAGAGACACCAGGGAGTCCACCCGGTGCTGAGACCTGCCTGATGCCAAGACCTGCCCGGTGCTGAGACCTGCCAGGTGCTACATCTGCCTGGTGCTGACACCTGCCTGGTGCTAACATCTGCCTGGTGCTGAGACCTGCCAGGTGCTACATCTGCCTGGTGCTGACACCTGCCTGGTGCTAACATCTGCCTGGTGCTAACATCTGCCTGGTGCTGAGATCTGCCCCGTGCTGAGATCCACCCAGTGCTGAGAGGCCTACAGCACTAGCCATGGGGGTGCTAAGGACACAGTGCCCTCCCCCACCCCCCGCCCACCGGAGCACGCCTTCCTGCCTCAGCCATATCTTTCCATCACCAAGTGAGGGACACGGGTGCTCATTTCACAGATACTCAGTCCGCAGGGCTTCCCTGTGTGAGGATGGCAGCAGTTTAGGACCTACTGTGTCCAAGGCCCAGCGTTAAGAAACAGTCTGAACTACAAAGTGTAGGGTGCCATGTACTGAAACGTCAAATGCAACTCAAAATACACTCAAAATCATCACAAGGGATTCTTGACCTAAACCCGCAGTCACTAGCACTGACTGTGTACCAGGCTCCAGAATGAAGCCCCCACTGCCCAGCCCTGCCCAGGTGCGGCCCAGCGAGCGGCCGGCCCACCTGCAGGATGGACACGGTCTGGGAGAAGTGGTGCTGCTCCATGGTGGACGTGGAGTAGAGCGCGGCCAGCGGGTGGTCGAACTTCTGCAGGTAGCTGTTGCTGAAGCCCCTGTGGTCCAGGTCGTGGCACAGACACGCAATCAGCAGTCCTTTGCGCTGTAAACACAACACAGGGCACAGGCGTTGAAAACCAAGAGCGGGCCATGGGGGCCCACGGCCGTCACTCCTGCCACACCGCCTCTGCCGCCCCCACCAGCAGCTCCTCAGGAAACTCTGAATCCAAGTCTAACTGCTTCTAAACCTCTGGGCTTTCCTGCTTATGAACTTGAGTCAAATGCTCCCTCCTCACTCTAGGAAGAGGGCAGGGGGGATTCAAGAAAGCCAAGGCTCCTGGCAACAGAGAAGCAGATAAGCCAGGGAGAGGGCAGCCTCGTCCTCCATGAGCAGCCTGCTCGTGTTAAATTCCAACACATCACAGTCATTGTAAACTAGGAGGGTGACAGCTAAGTCATAGGACATGTGCAACATGGCAAATCACGTAAGAGGCGAGCAGGCTGCAGGGACGGCGGGAGGCAGGCCCAGCAGCCCAGGGAGGGACACAGGTGAGCAGGGACCTAAAGACAAGGAGAGTGCAGGTGGGCCTCCCTGAAAGCCAGCAGGTCAGGGAGGCTGTGGCTCGGGGACCACGGGGTGAGGAGGACAGAGAGACGGAGGTGGGAGGCTGAGGACCTCATAGGCCTTGTACCCTGCATGAGCCAGGGGATGGCAACAAGACAACTTCATTATCACAGAGAGGGGGGCTCCCTTCCCTCCATGGCTAGGGGTCTCCTGGAGCAGGACACGGGTGATGGAAGAGGAGAGAGGGGACCACTGTGAGGGCTGCGCAGAGGCCGGGCGGAGAGGGTGTGCGCGGCATCAGGCAGCTCCAGATCTGGAATGCTTGTGGCAGGGGCTAAGCTCCGACCCCCCAGCGCACAGTGGGCCCAGCGCACAGCGGGGCAAGAACGGACGAGCCGTCCCAGAGCCTCCCAGCTCTGAGCTGGAAAGCCTCCCCTGTGGACCTACGCCAGGTGTGAGAAGGCAGGGGAAGCAGTGACACCCCTCAGGGCCCTGCTTCCTGCAAGAGGGGATCGCGTGCGCACTGAGGTCGGAATTGCATTTCCTGCTCCGGGTGGCCCATCAGTGGGAGTGTCCATGTCCCCAGAGCACGAGGCCACGGGAAGCCACCGCTACATCCCTCTGCAGACTGACAAGGAGGAAAGGCTGCAGACACTACTCTTCCCTTGGGCATCGTTCAGTGAAGCTAGAGTTTGTGCATCTGCACTTCTTACTCAAAACCCTACGGCACAAGCCTGGGTGTGGCCGTCTCTACAACGTGCTCCTGTGAGTCACGGAGCTGGGGTCTGTCCCGGAGCCTGTCGCACATCCAGGCCACCCGCGTGCCCGACACCGAGGTGACAGGGACACAGGTCCTGGGGAGGGAGCCCACGGCGCCCACCTCCAGGTCGGAGAAGAGCCCCAGGTTGTTCTGCAGGATGGCGTACATGCAGTGCGCCACGGTCACCGCGTGCTTCCAGTTGTGGTAGGGCACCCGCCGGTAGTTCTTCTTCACGGACATGATGAAGCGGCACAGCTTCTCAAGCTCAAAGCTGTGGGAAGAGACGACAGGAGCCGGCAGTCAATTCGCCCGGGAGAGGCCTCTGGTCTGTACCGCACACACGTCTGTACTGAATGCGTGACCGTGAGGGTCTGGGGACGAGTCCAGGCGCCCAGGACCCTCACTCACGCTTCCCCGCGACTCTCCGGCCAGTGTGGAGGGAGGGCTCTGTAAGAGCTTCTCTCGGAGGTGCTGGCCGCCCACCAGGGAGGACCTGACCGGCTGTGGCTCCCCATCCCTCCCGCCCATCGCCCTCCTCACCCGCAGGCAGCTCGACCCGAGCTCAGCGGACCACCTCTGACCGTCTGCTCAAGAGCATTCGGAACTGATCATTTCCCAAAAGCATATTCAGATTTGCCAACTACAAATGTGTAACCTTGGGAATTTTGGTGATGAGTGATTATCTTTTAAAAACGAATCCAAATTAAATGGTCCTCAAACTATTAGTAGCAATGACTCCATCCTGACACAGTGCATGGTAGAAATGGCGTTTTCATTATACAATATGGTTATCATATGTTATGTTATAATATAACCATGTATTCATACTTATTGAAGGGCTTCAATTTTCTCAGTGGATTTTAAGGCAGCTTAAATCAAAAACACAAGACAAAACAGGGCTCTTTGAAATACCAAAGAAATGAGGGTTCAAAAAGCTTCTAAAAATCTGTAACTTATATTTTCTCTACTGAAAATTTTCAAATGTCCTTAGAGTGTAAGGAATGCCATTTTAAGAGTTCCAAATGGTCAGCCTCCTTGATATACTAGCAGGTGAGAATTAACCAGAGCCAGTCGCCCTGTGTGCACCCCTTGAAAAGAGTCACTGAGGTCCTGAGAAAGCACGGGCCTCAGTGGCTCTAGAGAAGCTAAGCTCCGCCACGCAGCGGGGCGGTGAGAGAGGAAGGTGCTCCTCTGGGCCGCCGCGAGGCGAGGAGCCTGCGATGCGAGCAGCAGCCCCAGGAAGTGACTGGCACAGGCCTCGGCTGTGAAGGGGACCCTTGTTCCTTTCTACCTGTTCTGATTGGTACATCAGGGAAGTTGAAGGTTGATACAAATGCATGCGTGCATTCCCAAGCACACTTCAAAGCAGTGTGCGATTATGTGGACGGGGAACTCCTACCTCTTCCAGTTAAACAGCCTAAGTTCGCTCCCCCACATTTTAATGGCCACCTGGTTCTATCCATGGCTGTGAGCTGAGGGACAGAGCTCATAGCCGCTACGGGGAAAACGAGAGGGCTGCGGCTCTGTCCAAGTCTACTAGCCTTTCTAACATTAAATCTTTAGAAAAGGCAATTTACATATAGCATGTGTTAATACTGCCCCACCCCCCCGAAAGTGACAGGGCGTCCAGGTAAGGGAGGGAGGGGCCATGTCACTCAACAGTCTAAAAAGGATGTTTCTAGGCCATTCGTACCAGGACGTCCCACAGGAACGATGGATCATGTAGACAAAAATCCCAGGCCACATGTTTTCAAAAGGACCGATGTCAAAGTGGAATCTGAAAAGAACGCAGAGAGGGCTCGTTTATTCCGACATCAGGACACATGCTAACGAGAAGAAGGCAGGGGAACTGCTGTCCACTGAGGACTGAGGGAGACGGGGGTCAGCTGCTCTCCTGCCTCTCGTCACGTCTCTGCTGTACGTAGAGGTTTCCAGAAGGAAACGCCACTCATGCCCTCAGGAACTTAGTGCAATATTTGCTTCACTGTCATTGCTTAACTTTCTCTCAAACAATCTGTAACAAGGGGATGCTGTGGTTACTATCAGAACAATGAAAAAGCAAAAAAGTTCTATTATGAAAAATGCATATACATTACATAAGGGAGTAAAAAACCTTATAAAAAATTTTTTTAGAGCTGAAGATTATCCTATCTCCTATTTAAATCCACAAAAAAATTTCATAAATATAAACACACATCCAAAGTCTTTACCTATTTTTCATTTGCTAATTTGCTGACATTTAACCCAAATAAACACAGTGGTATATGGTATAGTATTTAAAAAAGACACATTGTCCTCTAGTCACAACATTCCTGACACCAAAGGTGTGCGTTTTCTGCACCAAGCAGTTCTCCAATCCTCTGCGGACACCCAGTGACGCTCCACAGTGCAGGTCAGTCCCGACACCACCTGGATTAGCAGAGCCACAGACCCCGTCCTCAGCCCATAGACTGCCCCTCACTTCACTTGACAACTGCAAGTCCAGGCCACCCCGATTTCTGGCCAACCAGCTACGAAGCCGAGGTTTGATGACGTGCGACAACAGCTCCCTGACTCCGGGGAGCACTCTGCTTACTACTTGGGGTTCACTAGGAAGGAAGCACATCAGGAAGAGCCGGGGGAAGGGAGGCACAGGCTCCCTGCTCTCAGGCCCCCCCCCCCCCGCCCCCCGGACAATAAAAACCTTATTCAGGGTTTTCCTGGAGGGAGGCCTCACCCCCAGGCATGACTAAGTCACTGGCCTTTGATGATGACCTCATCCCCACCTCCTGCACCCCCAGAAGTCCTAATCACATGGCTTGTTCCTGACACCCAGACCTCACCCTCTAAGGCAGCGGTTCTCAACCTGTGGGTCGCGACCCCTTTGGGGGTCGAACGACCCTTTCACAGGGGTCGCCTAAGACCATCGGAAAACACATATATAATTACATATTGTTTTTGTGATGAATCACTATGCTTCCATTATGTTCAATTTGTAACAATGAAAATACATCCTGCATATCAGATATTTACATTACGATTCATAACAGTAGCAAAATTACAGTTATGAAGTAGCAATGAAAATAATTTTATGGCTGGGGGTCACCACAACATGAGGAACTGTATTAAAGGGTCGCGGCATTAGGAAGGTTGAGAACCACTGCTCTAAAGGTTCTTCCTTGGCATAAACCCTTGTACAGTTGAGTTTTATTATAAACAAGGAAAGACACCCCCTCACCCATATCACAGGGTGTTAGGAGCTCCTGCCAGGAAACAAGTAAAAGGCCAAATGTATACATTTCTTAATATAGCACAACTAGAGGCCCGGTGCACGGATTCATGCACCCGTGGGGTCCCTCGGCCTGGCCTGCGGGGATTGGGCCGAAACCAGTTCTCCAACATCCCCCAAGGGGTCCCGGATTGCGAGAGGGCAGTTCTTGGGTGATGCACCCAGAACCAGAGAGGAGGGAGTCCGATTCTGGGGTGGGTCACCCGAGAACCGCAGCTGCCAAGTCACCGCAGCTCAGCAGCTCCTGTGTTGAGCATCTGCCCCCTGGTGGTCAGTGCACGTTATAGCTACCAGTCAGATGGTCACTTAGACTTTTATATATATACTAGAGGCCAGATGCATGAAATTCGTGCAAGGGCTCAGCCCTGGGAGCCGCAGCAGCTGCCTTGGCTCTTGCAGCCCAGACTTCCATCTGGAAGGTCGTTCGGCTGTCTGGTCTAATTAGCATATTACGCTTTTATTATTATAGATAGATACATACTATTATACCATTAAAAGATAAACTAAGGCATAGTTGACATTTTATGAGCTGATCTGAGCAAACATCAATTCAACCAGCAGTGCCAGCCCCAAGGTGGTGAGGAGGACTGCATCCAGGGAGGGGAGACCACAGAGAAGGGGCAGCAGAGAGAGGAGCTCACTGATTGGCTGCAGCTGAAGTGGCTGGCTCTTTGGGGATGGGCTGTCCCTGTGTTTCCATCTGTTACCTAGGCCACCAGGGCAGTGAGGCCACCTCATCGCAGGGCCTCCTTGTTTAATTAACTTAACACGACTATCTGCCCAATCATAAGGCAACTATCAGCTCTGGGTCACTTCTGGGAAGTTTCTATCCGTGAAACAGTGTTGGCTTGTACTTACAAGGGGTGTACAAATTACCAGAGGTGCTACCACCAGCAATTGCATGCATTAGCATATGGAGCATAGGATTGGAAAACAAATTGTGAAAGTTGAATTACTAGCTTCTAAAATTTGTAAATTTAAAATTATACAGAAAACTTAGAATCTGATATTAAATACCATTTAAATATTAAATATTATATAGTGTAAACTGTACAAAAGCCTACAGAGAACAGCTAACCTTTAGGTTAACTCATTTCAAAACTGCGTTCAGTTTTGTTTTTAAATATGAGACCCGGACAAGTTGTACCCCGAGACCTGGAATCCCCTCGGAAGGGAGAAAGGGCAGCTGCAGCTGCACCTGCACTGAGCCATCTGTGACCCGAATTCTCTGGCCCGTTTCCCTTCCAGGTCGACAAACCAAGCCCGCGTGCCGGGCGGGAACTCACAGCTCCACCTCCTTGCAGAGGCGCCCGGGCAGTGTGAAGCGCATGAGGCCCTGCCACTCCTCGGCGGTGCAGATGCTGTGGTAGGACAGCTTCTCCATGGTCACGCGGTAGATGCACTCCGAGTGGCGGATCCGGTGGTACATCTGCAGGCAGACAGGTAAGGGGACGTGGCGTCATTACACTTCAGGGTCTGGTGTGGAAGCATCGGCACAGCGCCTGGCACCATCAACACCCCTGAACCTATTTCTACTCCACCTCCACCAACACTGGAGAGCCCCACCCATGCGACCTGGCGGGTACAATACAGACGACTACGTGTGTTTGAAAAGACTGAGTAACCCTGGAACAGCTGTCTTTTTGTTGCTGTTGTTGTGAATCCTCACCCAAGGATATTTTTCCATTAACTTTTTAGAGAGAGTGAAAGAGAGAAGGGAAGACAGAGAGAAATATCGGTGTGAGAGAAACACATCGATTGGTTGCCTCCTGCACGTGCCCCAACCAGGGCCCGGGAAGGAGCCTGCAACCAAGGTATGTATGTGCCTTTGACCAGAATCAAACCTGGCACCCTCAGTCCGCAGGCTGACACTCTATCCACTGAGCCACACCGGCCAGGGCCAGCTGTCTTTTTAGCAGGCATTCTCTCTGGGTGGTGAGATGGCTGGGCATTCACCGGCCCGCACCTCACTCTTGGTCTCCTAGCTACAGGAACGGAACATCCACACCGGCTGTGTAGAAGCCATGCAGGCTGTTGTTATAGGGCCTGAACGTGGGCTTTTATTAAAAACCCTGAATGAAGACAGGCAGAGACTGAGCGAGTCAAGAGGGAAGGTGCTTTTCTGTCTCCTTTTAAAGTGTTGAGCTTCATTCTTGGTCTCGGTCCTCCCGTCCGGGAGTCTCAGAAGCTTGACGGCGAGGTCCTTTGTTAGTCACGAACGTTGGAGACTCGGGCCCAATGCGTGGACATTCCTTTAGCAACTGCGCACGCACACCGTGCTGACAGGTCATGTTATAAAACACACTGAAACAGGAATGTTTGAAAGTACCCATTTTCATGCTTACTAAACAGGGCCTTCTGTTCTTACTAAACAATGACATACATTAAAATAAAATCACTGTAACTGAATGTTATCAGTTGTCATGTTCTTTCTTTACTACTCAGTGGGGTGGTGACGTTAATGTCTGGCTCAGTTTAACCTATTTCCATGCTTATTTCCAGAAAGCTGACGGCTGTGCCAGAAAGCACGTGGATCCCAATGGAACGACGCTAGTCCTGCCTGTTCTTAAACGGCCACTTGTAGTTTCGTTCCCTAATAGCTAACATTTGGTTGAAACTCAGATACACTTCTGATTTCAGGAATCTCCATCAGTTAATCCTGAAAACTAAACAGCTGAATCTTTACAGAAGCGAAGGTTTGCAGCTGTGGGTAGTGGAAGAGTCTGTTCTTGTGTTCTGACTGGTCACTGCACTATCATCCACACCGACACCTGCACACCGGCTTCTGCCTGCCCTGTGTCCTCAACCAGGCTCAGGCCAAGGAAACAGCGGTAAACATCTGTCTCCAAAGTGCTCTCTTCAGGACGGGAGTTTGCTGGGAAAACAATTATTTTCTTGTTCAGTGTTAATGCCGCTTGCTGTGTGGCCGTGAGCAAACTAAAGCTTCCGTGTCCACTTTCCTCAGCTCATTTGGAGTCAATTTCAGAGAAACTACTTCGATGAAACTCTCCCTGCTTCCATCTTCTAATGAGGAGAGCAATGCTCTTGGCCCCTTAAACACAAATGGGAACAACAACTATGCACACAAGCGATGCTGCATCGCGGGGCCGTCGGAGAGCAAGGCTCCGGGATAGACAGTGAGACGGAAGGGGCTCTGTGGGTCAGACTAGAGCTGCCAACATGCAATCAGAGAAACAGAAAGAGAAATGCACGCAGAGGCTGCTGGGTAAACTCTCTGCTGAAACAATGAGACAAGGGGGCAAGTCCCAGTAGAGAAACCTCCATCGAGGGGCCACCATCACGGGAATGGGAGGTGCCTGCCTGCAGGTGCGAGAGCACATCACTCTGTGATAGTCCATCACGCTCCTCAAACTGGACTACGTGCTTCACAGCCCTGGCCTGCAGGACGGAGGGGGGACGGGTCCCGATGAACGGAGACAGGACAGGCCCGGGTCAGCTCCATACCCAGCACCTGTTAGGGGCGGAATGTGTTCCCACAATTCAGACATTGAAACCCTAGCCCTTCGAATGTGATCGCGTTTACAGACTGGGTCTTTAAAGAGGTAATTAAGGCAAAATGAGCTCAACAGGGCGGCCCTGACCCAATACAACTAGAGTCCTTACAAGGAGAGGAGATTGGAAACAGACAGGAACCGAGAAGGACCACGTGAAGACACGGGGAGGGGCATGAAGATGTTGTATTAGAACAAACTTCGGTGGGTCATAGAAATATGTGCAGAGAGAGAAGAGAATGATGCTGACTTTCCAATCACTGGAGCTTGCCATTGTTTTTTCAAATGGGCTGTATAGGTATCAAGTTGCTACAGCACTTAGATTCCACTGGATTCATTTAAAAGATAAAAATCAATACTCAGAATATACTGGAAATTACATTCTCTGCAACTTTGAAGAGAAACAAATGTAAGGTGTCACTGTTTTTATTTATGGGAGATAGAATCTGAAGCAAAAAGATAGCTGATACCGTTTCTTTCCGATGAGCCACGCAACACTCAATGTCCCCCAGCAGAGGGCGCCCTGGCACCACAAAGGAAGCTGGGTGCCCTCAGGAAGGAGCTCTGAGCTGCAGTTTTCCCCCCATTTTTGGTCCTAGTTCTGGTTAAGCCGTTTCCATTAGTTACAAAATTAATCCTGTGGAACATGGTTCGCTCTCCAAAAAGGCAATTTCTCTAAATTATTAAGGTGGTATATCTCCCATTTCTACTGATTGCACTTTATCAGAAAGTTAATAAAATGTTCCCTAACTTCGAAATCCCAGTCCTGTCACGAAAGGAATCTTAGTTTATAACAGACTAAATGTTCAACTCATTGAAAATGGAAAAATGGACAAGATGGTAAATTCAACTACTTTAAAGGGAGACTTCACAGGGTGGGCGGGAGCCTCCTGCAGTGGGCAAGCAGGCAGGACAGGTGAGCCTCTGCTCCTGTGCACCACCGTCCTCACGTCCTCAGGGCTCCGCTCCGCATGAGGCCCGCAGCAGAGTGTGGTGACAGACAGTGAGGCTCCGAGAGCGCTTCCTCACTCATCTCAGTGGACACTGAGATACAGACCTTAGGCTTGAACATTTCACCTCGTTTCAACCCCCCCCCCCCCCCCCCCCCCCCAATATATTTGTATTGATTTCAGAGAGGAAGGGAGAGGGAGAGACAGAAACATCAAAGATGAGAGACAATCACTGAGAATCATCGATCGGCTGCTCCTGCACGCCCCCTACTAGGGACTGAGCCTGCAACCTGGGCCTGTGCCCTTGACGGGAATCGAACCCAGGATCCTTAGTCCTCAGGCCGTCGCTCTATTCACTGAGCCAAACTGGCTAGGGCAACTTTGTTTTTTTAAAAAACAGATTCACACCTTGAAATAAATGCAAAATATTAGATTTTTTTTTTCTTCCAAGGCATGGCTTTTTCTAAATTTGAGCCACCAGGAATTAGTGTTTTTGGTTTAATGAAGGAAACTTAAATGGAAAAAAAAGACACCCCTTACACTACTTTATTGCCATTGTTTTAAAGTTACTATTGAGTAGTGAGAAAGGTATTTAAAAGCATCACTCACGTTGGCACAGTGCAAGGCTAACGCACAGAAGACGGCGAACATCTTGAAGTTGTTCTCGTCCGTTTTGGAGAAGGCGCTGCCGCTGATCTTGTTCACCATCTGCACCACGCCGATCACGCTGCCACGGCTCACGATGGGCATGCACAGGATGTTGCGTGTGGTGTAGCCCGTGTACAGGTCCACCTCCCTGGGGGGGGGGGAACGACAACCACACACACACACACAACCCTCCCTGGGGGGGGGGAACGACAACCACACACACACACACACACACACGCGCACACGCACACGCACGCGTGCGCACACACACACACAAAACAGAAGGTAAACAACTTATTCTACCATAAACCTCAACTCCACTTTGCAAATTACATGCTTCTATTATAAATACCTCTAATGGAGCCGTTAGCTTCCAAATTCAAGGACCATGTGGCATTTGAAAGTGCTCTACTTAAACCTTTTCAAAAACATTCTAACCGGTTTGTTCTTTTGTTCTCAAGAGCTTTTCAGAACAGGACCAGAGGCCTTCGGCTTATTGCTCCGTTTTAAGTACCCAGCATTACTGGGATAACACCAACTGCTGATCCAGAGAAAACTAGAATCAATGTGGTGAGAGAGCATGTGCCTTTGGCCTTGGCTACATTATGAGGTGAACTTGCTTTGCAAACATACATGGGTGTGCAGAGCGGGCCCGCACCAGCCCTCCCGTCTGCACACGGAGCTCTCGTGGACTAGACCACACCACTCCCTAAGGCACTGCCCAGCCCCCAGCAGAGACGCCGTGGCCAGCGAAGCCCAAAGCACTGCTCTCTCAGTAGAAGTTTGCCCACTTGGAAGTAGAGGAAATACTTTTTGAAAGTAAGACTCCATTCCACAGAGGCAGCCGTGAAACTAGGCAACTAGTGGGATGGGATCTGTGTGCCTGGCTCCTCCCATTGAGGCTAGTGTTTCTGAGACACGGCCACGGGGCTGCGTGGAGCAGGGTCCAGCCCTTTGATCGCTGAGTAGGATTCTATGGTCCGGATGTGTCACCGTTTATTGACCCATTCACCGGTTCATGGACATGACTAATGGCTGACAGCCGGTGTGTGGCGAGTATGAACAAGGCCGCGTTGAAGATTGGCTTCCACCTCTTCGTGGACCGGGGTTACGGTTTTTCTTGGCGACACCCGAGCAGAGCTGACCGAGGACAGTCAGCACCTGCTTATCTTTACAAGAACCACAAACTGCTTTCCGAGCGCTGTCCCATCACACGTCCCATCCGCAATGCGGGAGCGGCCCGTCCCTCGCCCCTGCCAGCCCTCGCTGATGTTGACCTTAAAAATCTGAGCCATTCACGTCGGTGTGTAGTGGGATCTCCCCCTCAATCAAGTTCATGTTCCCTCACCTCAAACATGCTGCGTTTCCTGGCCGTTCACATGGCCTGTGCTGTGAGGTGTCTGCTAAAATCCGTGCCTATTTATCAAATAGAGTTTGCGCTTTTCTGAAAAAGCAGACAGTCAGCATACTCCTTATTGATAAAACACATCACTAGAATAGACACAATCTGTGTTTACGTACGAGCTGTGTATGTTTGACATTAATCAAAAAATACCTGATAGAACTTCCTATTGTTTATTTTGTTTAAGTGTCTCTTAAAATAAACTGAATGCTTGATTTAACTGTACACTCTGGTCAAAATATCTGAACTATTACTCCCTAATAATCATAGCATCAATCTTAAGACTCAATTTCTAGAGGTTTATTAAATTTATTATTACATGATTCGGGTTCTAGTTCTCCGAAGAAACACAAAACAGAACAAAACCAAACCCTCTCGCCCTCCTGCTCCGACCCTCACAGCTTCTGACAGAAGCAGCCACTGTGCCCGTGCCCACTCCGCGTGTCAGGCAAAGCGGACAGACAGGGATAAACATTTCCTCTAATCTTGAAATAAAAACAGAACCACAAGATAGGCACCATCGTACCCATTTGACAGAGGAGGAAACTAAAGCTCGGAGATGAAGTCACTTACCAGGTCCCCCTAGAGCCGTAAGTGACAGGACAGTCACCCTAAAGTGGGCCCTTACGACCAGGTGCTACCAGAGTGCGCTCGGGACAAAGTGATGGCACCACAGAAACAAGCAGCTTTGTAACTGCACACTTTTGCTTTTTGTTGCTTTTATAATATTTTAAACCCCATTAGCTGGGTATCACTAATGGTCTGGTGCCCATCATTGTGAAGTATCTGAAAGCACTGACTCCTGATAACAGGGTCACTGCAAAGAGTTCCAGAGCTGAGATGAAAGGACGGACTGTGATGGGGTGTGAGCTTGGGCTGCACAGCAGTCTCAGCCAGGGGTCTCAGCCCAGGGGTCTCAGCCAGGGGTCTCAGCCAGGGGTCTCAGCCCAGAGGTCTCAGCCAGGGGTCCCAGGGGTCTCAGCCCAGAGGTCTCAGCCCAGGGGTCTCAGCCCAGAGGTCTCAGCCCAGGGGTCTCAGCCCAGAGGTCTCAGCCCAGGGGTCTCAGCCCAGAGGTCTCAGCCCAGGGGTCTCAGCCCAGAGGTCTCAGCCCAGGGGTCTCAGCCCAGAGGTCTCAGCCCAGGGGTCTCAGCCCAGAGGTCTCAGCCCAGGGGTCTCAGCCCAGGAGCCTCAGCCCAATGTCCTCAGCCAGGGGTCTCAGCCCAGGGGCCTCAGCCAGGGGTTTCAACCCAGTGTCCTCAGCCCAGGGGCCTCAGCCAGGGGTTTCAGCCCAGTGTCCTCAGCCCAGGGGTCTCAGCCCAGGGGCCTCAGCCCAGTGTCCTCAGCCAGGGGCCTCAGCCAGGGGTCTCAGCCCAGTGTCCTCAGCCCAGGGGCCTCAGCCCAGTGTCCTCAGCCAGGGGCCTCAGCAGGAGGGCAGAAGCCAAGGGGGACAGAGCTGCTTGCTGCACCTGTTGAAGCGCGGGTCTGCGTAGGCGTCCGGGATGTTCAGCACCTCCCCCGTCCGCGCGACCTGGCCAGCAATCCCTTTCTCAATGGAAAACCTGCAAATACAGGAGAGAGGAGCATGCTCATTAAACACAGAGGCTGTCCCCCACTCTGAACCCGTTTACTGCCACCAAACACTGAACAGAAAAGCACTTTAAATGCTTGGGTTCACTTTACATTCACACATTCTAAATCATATTATTATTATAAACTGTGCAAAGGTAAAACAGAAAAACATTGCACAGTAATCACTTGAGACCTTGATTTAAGATATAATTCAAAATATATGAACTTATACTGAACCACAAATTGAAATTGAAAAATTAATTAGCATTCTCCTGCACTGACCAATAGCAATCCTTCGTATTGACAATGTACACTACTATAATTTACAATACACTTCAACCTACATCTTCTGCGTTAATTCTCACTGTGGTGGGAACTGAGGCCCATTTGGGTTCAGTAATTTGCTAAAATTTGCAACATATCAATGTTACAAGGAAAGCAAGAACACAGCTCTATAGCAGTGCCCGTCCTACCACATATATAACCAGAATCACAAGTCACGGCTGATTTCTGAGAGAGGACATAGGACTGGAATGCTAAGGCATTTGCAATACAGCACTCTATAAAAATAACACACTTTAAAACTCCTACTGTTTTTATTTCTCTAATTTGTTGAATTTAAAAATAGTCAAAATACAAGCATTGTCTATACTTAATTATGTTTTGATATTTAATATCAACATTTTCTATTATAAACACACTAGAGGCCCGGTGCACAAAAATTTGTGCACTGGGGGGGGGGGGTCCCTCAGCCCGGCCTGTGCCCTCTCACAGTCTGGGACCCCTCGGGGGATGACCACCTGCTGGCTTAGGCCCGCTCCCCGGGGCATTGGGCCTAAGCTGGCAGTCAGACATCCCTCTGGCAGCCCGGGAGCCCTCGGGGGATGTCCACTTGCCAGCGGGGAGCAGGCCTAGCTGCAGTCGGACATCCTTAGCGCTACTGAGGAGGCGGGAGAGGCTCCCACCACCACCGCTGTACTGGCAACCATCAGCCTGGCTTGTGGCTGAGCAGAGCTCCCCCCTGTGAGAGCGCCCTGACCACCAGAGGGCAGCTCCTGCATTGAGCGTCTGCCCCCCTGGTGGTCAGTGTGTGTCATAGTGACCAGTCATTCCCAGTCGATCTGCTGTTAGGGTCAATTTGCATATTACCCTTTTATTATATAGGATTCTCTCATATACAGTTTTCTGATACAATATTATCATCAGTCATGCAGTTATTTTGAAATGTTGTTAACCAAGATGTCTGCAATCCACAATCTTGTCGCACTTCTATAGCTAGACAGAACTTTCATACTAGTTTCCACATTATAAAAGATAATCATCCTATATAATAAAAGGCTAATATGCAAATAGACTGAATGGCGGAACAACCGAACTGAACAACCAGTCGCTATGACATGTGCTGACCACCAGGGGGTGCATGTGGAACATGGCAGGCATCAGCCATGGAGGGATGGTGGAGCAGGTGAGCAGGGGCCCCAGACCAAGGCAGGGCGCCGATTGCTGTCATCGGGATGAGCCTCTGGTGGTTACTAAAAATTTTTGCTCCCACACGCTGTGGTCCTGCCCGGCACTTGCACCTGCTGCTGGCACCAGAGTCACTGCTTGCACCCACTGCTCGCACCCTCTGCTGGCGATGGCCCTGCTTGCACCTGCAGCCTGCGCTGGAGCCACTGCTCGCACCACTGCCGGCACCCGGCGCCAGTCCCAATTGCTTGGCGCCGTCAGCAGGTTTAAATGGCGGCTGCTGGTCCTAATCACCCTGAAGGCTTCTCCACTTCCCCTTGCTCCTGAGGGGTGATCGGGGCAGCAGCTGCCACTCACACCCGCTGACAGCACTGGCCCTGCTTGCACCCGCTGCTGGCGCCAGCCCCAATCCCTCTGCGCTGTCAGCAGGTGCAAGCGAGGCTGGTGCAGTCAGCACTTGGGAACGGCGGTGGTGGGAGCGGGGCTGCTGGCAGACAAGAGACTGGGGGCTGTGGCAGGAGGGGCTAGGTGGGGGCGCAGAGGATGGGCCAAGACCCGCCCCTGTGCCCACGCAGCCTCGAAGCCCAGAGCTCCTTTCAAGGTGCATGAATTCGTGCACTGGACCCCTAATCCTATATAATAAAAGGCTAATATGCAAATTGACCAAATGGCAGAACTACCGGTTGCTATGACGTGCACTGGCCACCAGGGGGCAGACGCTCAATGCAGAAGCTGCCCTCTGATGGTCAGTGCACTCCCACAGGGGGAATGCTGCTCAGCCAGAAGCTGGGCTCACAGCTGGTGAGCGCAGCAGCGGGGGCAGGAGCCTCTCCCACCTCCACAGCAGTCAGACATCCCCTGAGGGCTTCTGGACTGGGAGAGGGCACAGGCCAGGCTGAGAGACCGCCCCCCCGCCCAGAGTGCACGAATTTCGTGCACTGGGCCTCTAGTTATTGAAATAAAGCTCCACCCTGATGACTGTCACTAAAAATATTCAAAAGAAAGTGGATATGACACTGATGACACTGAAAGGTGAGCCCAACGCTTCCTGAAATAAGGTTGCTTCAAGGTCACAGTTTTCCTGGGCTGTGACCCGCGTGGCCATGGCAACGCTGACGCCCTGAGCGGGAGTCAGAATGCACTGTGGGATCTGCACAGGATGGCTTGGTCAGGGGTGTCCCAACTGTCCCTTTATTCCCACTTCAGGCGGCTGCCCTGCAAACACATCCCTGTCAACTGGCCCCTCACTCCTCCCAGCCCAGCGAACATGGCTCCACAAGGGCCTGGCCTCAGCACGTGAGGCACCAGCGCTTCTGGGAGGGCAAGGACCATCTGCAAGAGAAAGGATTCGCCTATAACTAGATCCAGGCTGACTGACCCCAAAACAACCAGCCTCAATATCACAATTAAAAACCTCAATAGTGCCTGCCAGCCAGCCACACGAGTGGAATATAGGACTATCCCCTAGGGCAGTGATGGCGAACCTCTGACATGCGTGTCAGAGGTGACACGCGAACTCATTTTTTTGGTTGATTTTTCTTTGTTAAATGGCATTTAAATATATAAAATAAATATCAAAAATATAAGTCTTTGTTTTACTATGGTTGCAAATATCAAAAAATTTCTGTATGTGACACGGCACCAGAGTTAAGTTAGGGTTTTTCAAAATGCTGACACGCCGAGCTCAAAAGGTTCGCCATCACTGCCCTAGGTCCTGGAGTAGGGCTGCCCACTGGGGGGAAGTGGTGAGTGCCTGCAGGATCACATGGTCCCCTTCACACCTGGTTAGCACCCCCATGGGACAGACAATGGCCCAAAGGAACAGCGATTCCTAGTGAACAAGAACACTGCTTTCCTGGGAAGCTGTGACCACCAAAGCGTTTAGAGGGGTATGAGGAAAGCCGTTAGACAAAGCACATAAAGAAAAGAGAATCCAAGTTTTGACTGTTCAGTTTGATTCCCACACATTCCTGACAGTGCTCCCTGCAGGCTCGGACTGTGACAGGACGGAGCCACCGCCAGCCACACAGACCCGCTCCACTCAGGTACGTGACAAAAGCTGCCACTTACAGCACAAAGGCGGCTTTGGTTTCAAGAGGCAACAGGAGTGTCACATGACTGACTACGCCGCCTGCTCAGTTACAGAACAGCGAGCTGAAGTCATCAACGCTGCAGGTCAGCGCCCACTGCGGCTAGACTTTGAGACCGAGGCCACTGGTGGGGACGGTGGGCGCCCCGTTTCAGCTCGCCTGCCCCGAGACACGGGAAACCTGCCGCCTCCATCCAGGCGGGAGCACCTTTACCTACCTGGGAGCACTAGTCAGTTTTTCCAACATGATTTCCAAAAGGACCGCCTCCGAAGACGGCGTTTCCGGGGGGACGCTAACGCTTCTCGGCGCGGCTTGGCCGGCACTGCAATGCCATTCCCAGAAGCACTGCCTTCAGGAGGCGGGTCCTGGTGGGAATGATACCACAGTGTGACAGGCAGTCAGCGCACCTGCGGGGCACGGAGCGGCGGCGGGCCCTGCGCCTGTGTACCTGATCTCCTTGGTCTTCTTGAAGACGGGCCTGCCCTCCTTCACCTCCCCGATGTCGAAGAGGTCCGAGTACAGCTCCTGGTTCTTGTGGTCCACCTGGAAGAGGGCGCAGCGGTCGGCGTTCACCAGGTTCTTGGCATAAATCTAAGGACAGACGATAAAGCACGGCTAAGCTGACAAGAAAGGCATCCATTTCCCGTCAGAAATACATCCTCAGTTCAGCTATAGCAATACAATAAAGTAAGAAACACATCATTATCTCAATGAATGCAGAGAAAGTGAGGTTGAAACCCAATTATGATTTAAAAAAACTAAGAACAGAAGGAACTTGCTCAATCTGATGAAGGCCATCTACAAAAAAACAAATATCATACTTAATAATGGAAGACTGGATACTTCTCCTCTACAATCCGCAATAAGACAAGGATGTACACACTCTCAACCTCTAGTCAACATTGTACTGGAGGTTCTACAGGACAATTACACGGGGAACAAATAAAAGGCGTCCAGCTTGGACAGGAGAAGGTCAAACTGCCATTGATTCTGGACGACATAATCCCGCTACAGAAAACCCTGAAGAACCCACTTAAGAAACTACTGGGAATAATGATTTCATCACGTTTGAAGGATACAAGATCAATACACAAAAACCAATTTTACTTCTATACATTTTCAATAAAAATCTAAACATAAATTTAAGAAAACAATTCCATTATAATAGCATTAAAAATATTTAGAAATAACTTTACCAAAATAAAACAATAGTTATGCTTTGAAAATTACAAACATTGTTCGAAAAGTTAAGATAATGTAAATAAATAGAAAAAGACCCCATGTTCATGCTGGAATACTTAATGCTGTTAAGATGCCAAATTGATCTATGAATTCAACACAATTCCTATCAGAATTCCATTGAATTCTTTGTATAAATTGACAAGATTTCTAAAAGTTATATGAAATTGCAAGGAACCCAAAATTACTGAAAAAGAAGAACAAATCTGGAGGACTCTCACTTCCCATTTTCAAAACTTTTTACAAAACAACAGTAACCCAGCCAGTGTGACAGTCACCCAGCCAGTGTGACACCATCCGTGAGGAAGAAAGACAGGTCGATGGGGCCGGACCAAGAGCCTAGAAATGAGCTGACGGCGGAGGTGAAGCAGCCCGGACCTCCATGTCAGGGAGACTCAGCCAGGAATTCCCAACCCAGAACATATGCAAAGGCATTTGAAGCCCAATGTTTTCAAAGTGTAAATGTTTCCCATGCTCGCCACTAAGCAATGAAAAATGCTGAGGTGTTTTTCCAAAATTCATAGAAGTGACCAAAAAAACCCAGGCGGCACCTCCAGACCCTTCTCACCCCTTTAAACGTTCACGCCTGGCACCTTAAACATGCCCCATCCACTAGGCATGAGTCTAAGGTAAGGAAGAGCCTTGGTAAACAAGCGGCAACCTACCATTATGTGCTCCAGCAGAGAGTCTATGGCGACGATGTTATCAAAATACGTTCTGCAAAAGAGGACGGGAAACGGTGAGTGACCTTAGTGAGAGCAGAGCGTGGGACCCTGGGACACATCCCCGTTGCTCCTTACTGAAATGAAACGTGACCATATATGTCTGATTCTTGCCGTTCTGTGGAACAAGGCACAATAGCATTTTCAAGATACATGGAACGTCGTTACTGACTTTAGCCCGAGGACTCTCATTTCAGAGGGAGCGTGAAGTAATTCTTTTATTGATAAGTACAGATGCAGGAAGGAAGTCTGTAGCGTTTAAAACTAGGAAGGAATATGCTGAAACCGGTTTGGCTCAGTGGATAGAGCGTCGGCCTGCAGACTGAAAGGTCCCAGGTTCGATTCCGGTCAAGGGCATGTACCTGGGTTTCGGGCACATCCCCAGTAGGAGATGTGCAGGAGGCAGCTGATCGATGTTTCTAACTCTCTATCTCTCTCCCTTCCTCTCTGTAAAAAATCAGTAAAATACATTTTTAAAAAAATAAATAAAAAAAAATAAAACTAGGAAGGAATAAAACTAGGTTCACTACATGTAACACTGTCATTAATTTTGATCTGAAATGAAAAACATTTAAATTTGCTACACCTCATTAATATGCTTAAGATATAAATTTACCACTGAAAACCCGACAAGTTCGAATGTAGCTGAACTGTACTGAGGCAGCAACATCACTCATCGAGAAGAAACAGCAGAATAAACACGCCGGTGAGGCCCCGAGGACACACAGTGAATGTACGTTCAGGAGGGTGAGTGGCAGGGAAAGGTTGTGGAGGTGGCTGGCACACACACCAAAATGTAGCCCTCAGGAATGGAGGACCCACCAGTGAGCATGGAGTGCAGGGATGTAACACAGTCCTTGCAAAGAAGGCTTCTCGCGTGGGCTGTGTTGGCGAGGCATCTGTCAGCACAGGTTTGTGTACATCCAGCGATGGACTCATAATTAGGACAGTGTATAAATAAGCCATGCCTTTCATTTAAAGACGTCGTTAGCTGGAACACACTAAGACTTCGGCTCAGGGCCCCGCACCCTGAGGAATGCTCGGCCAGGAAGAGGGGAAGCAAACTGGTTACCCCACAGAGCAAAGTGAGGTGTCACAGGAGGGAATGCACGGGGCTTTGGAAAATTTACAAGAGATTCAATCAAGCACATGGACAAGAGATGCTGAACGGCTCCCTTTCGATGTGTTTTGAATAATATCACGTGCCCCACAGCTATTGTTTCACTTTATCTCAAGGATCGGGGATCAAAGAGAATCTCCTTCAATTCCATGTTTCTCTAACTTTATGTTGAAGAAACTAAGTGTAACACAATGCGGCGACTTCAGACTGACTAGTCACGGACGCTAGGAGAGCGTGAGGGTAGAGCAGGCAGGCCCGAGGGCTGCTGGCCGCCTGGAAGGCAGGCCCGCTCTCCCCGTGTGAGCCCCGAGGCCCTGACCCCGACCGCACCTGCGCAGCCTCAGGTCTCAAGGGCAAGCACAAGCAAGACCTGTGCACCTGGGGCTCCATCAAGTACCTGGACCTCAGGTCCAGCCTCGGGCGATGGGCCTTTTCTCTAAAATCCTGTCTCAGCTACTGTCCACGGGGAAATTAAAATAGTAACAATAGCATTTCACTGACTGGCATTTATAGAAAACGCCAGAGAGGTCTTTTTGGAAGGAACTAACTAGAACATTTCCTCTCCTACTGCTGTTAGTTTTCTCCCACAGACACCCTGTGTCTGTACCATATGCATAACCCATGGACACAAAAGGGCAGGGGGTTAATGGGGGGAGAAAGGGGACATCTGCAATATTTTCAACAATAAAGATACATTAAAAGAAATACACAGCAAACTGCAAATGAGAACCATCACATAACTGTCTCCATCCTTCCCCGGGAGCGTGAACAAGTGTGCAAGGGTGAGCACCAGTGAGCGAGGGTGAGAGAGTGCCCCCAATCCTCTCGGCCCGCCCACCTGCCCCATGAAGTCACCAGCAGCAGCAGCCACCCACCCCTTAAAGCGCACACTCACTTTGATACGTCGAGTAGAAAGTCATTCAGCTCAGTCTGCTTGGCGAGGCCTCTGCAGAGCTGCCATATGAAACAAAGGCCATTAAGGATAAAAGATGTTTGCTTATTTACAAGTAAACATTCCAGAACACTACTGACCTTGTTGAATGTAAAAGGTGTAACACAATCGCTGGCTTATAATGTAGCAATACTATCAATCACAACTCATTTTTCTTGAAGGCTTAAATGTGCTATAAGCACTTCACACTTATGACCTCATCTGATCACCACGAACACTGCAGGTTAGGGGCTGACTGTGTAACTGAGGCAGGAGGAGCCCAGAGCCTTGCTCAGACCCCAGAGCCCTGCACTTGAGAAACTGACGTGGACACATCTTCCACCCACTCTCTCGTGTCAGGTCCGAAGTCCTGCTCCTCAGCCCACTTTCCCACACTTAGGACTTTCCTCTCTAACACCTGGTCCCACCTTGAGCCGAGCTGGCTGAAGGGGACTCAGAAAACAAAACACGAGGAGGAGCAGCGGAAGATACAACGCAGAACTGTAGCCCGCCTGTCCCTGAGCTTCGCAAGTCTAGTTCCCACGAAAGCTGCAGTGTTTCTGGAGAACCAGGGTCTGAAATTCAATGTTTATGTTTCACACACCATTTGGTGGAGAGGATGCCTTAACTTAGGAAACAGAGTCAGAGAAATATCCATGTTCCGACCAGCAGGAGACTGATCCTGGGCTTTTGAGGGAAACAAAGATTCCAATAGGACACATACCCTTGATTGCATAAATGATGGGCAACTGTATATAAGTATATAAAAATAACTGACACATAGTTAAGCCAACGAGTAAGGAAATGGAGGTGCGTAGATGAAGGTTTTAGAAATAACAACATCGCTAAGATGCAAACAGAAAGCCCGAGGCTGAGGCCAGTGCCCCAGCAGGAAGCGCGGGACAGGGACCCACCTGCACCTGGTGGATGGCGACCGACGCCCAGGCGAGGTTCGCAGTGGCCACCTGAGGAAGGGGAAAGAGCCGCCATTAGCCAGGTGGGCCAGCCCCCCGTGTGGAGGACACTGTTCGAGGTCACTGCACATGTGAATGCTCTGCCAAGCACAAAGCATCAAATATGGACAGGAATTCTCTTTTATATTCCTCCTTCCTTTACAATGGAATCAAGTGCTTCCTTGTTCCCCTTCATTTTGGATAAAAAATAAAATAAATGGATTAAAAGAGCTAGAGTCCAAGGACTCTAACATAAAATAACTTTAGTGTAATAACAATACTATTCAAAAGCCTCTAACAGCAACTCTAAAATGAGGAAGTATTTCTAAAACTTTGTTGAAGAGTTCTCACATTACTAACTATTCTACTTCTTTTGCTACCCATTCACCTGGCCAGTATTTACCAGGTGTCTCCCAGGTGCCAGGCACTGTCCTCGGTACTGAAGAAAGGGCACAGGGACACAGAATGGCTGACTGTGGGGACAGAAATGGAGAGAAAGCCCGGCCGGCCGGCGTGGCTCAGTGGTTGAATGTTGCCCTATGAACCAGGAGGTCATGGTTCAATTCCCGGTCAGGGCACAGGCCTGGGTTGCAGGCTCCATCCCCAGTGTGGGGCATGCAGGAGGCAGCCAATCCATGATTCTCTCTCATCATTGATGTTTCTCTCTCTCTTCTTCTCCCTTCCTCCCTGAAATCAGTAAAAACATATTTGAAAAAAAAAGGCGAGAAAGAGAGCGAGTGCGTGCACAGCGCATCAGCTGGCGATGGAGGCCGCAGAGGACCAGGGACCGGGAGTGGGGTGGGGGGGGGGGGGGGGGGGGGGGGGGGGGGGCGCCTGAGAGGTCACACTGGAGGTCCCCCCTGCAGAAGGGGCTGGAGCTGGAAGGACGGGGACACACACAGGCTCTGACTGGGAGCCCTGCAGCCTTGCTCCAGGGGCTGGTGCAGGAGGAGGGGGAGGTGGGGGGCAGGCTGTGCCACCCAGGGAGTGGACAGGGGCAGCCGCGGAGGGAGGCTGGCGCACCCGGGTGTGGCAGGCATCGCTGCCATTTTATTCATGTATTAATGAGCCGGTTCCAGCTCAGGGAATGGGGACAGAAGGCACTGCCCTCCACGTGGGTCTGGCGCTGGCACCTTCATACAGGACGGACCGGAGAACGTGAGGACCTCCAGAATTCGCTCAGTCTCCGGAGCCAGCTACTGCTCTGTCTGCCTTACAATAGGACGGACTCTTACTTTTATTGTTTCAATGGATTCTCACTTTAAAATGACCAATTTCCAGTTTAACCAGTCCCCTCTCTAAATAACCACAAAACAAAAAAAGTTTTTTAAAAATCATTAGTATTAGTATCAAAAGCAAACTGTGGCTTCAACTATTCATTCCTTCATCACTGAGACGCTGCCTGAGCCCTCGGAGGCCAGCCCCGCCCCGCCCCGCCGCCTCACCTCCTGCTGGCGCAGAGAGAAGGAGTCCTTGCCCCAGTGCCGGTACAGCTCCAGGATGCCCACCAGGTCGCCAATCGCCGTGACGATCGGCAAACAGAGAACGGACTTGATCCGCGTCCCTGATTCCAGTCCAGTGCCTCCTGGAAATCGTTCATCCTGAAAAATTAAATGGGAAAAGGTGTAAGTTCAGTACAATAAATGGAATAATGCAGTCATGACCCTTATTTCTGTAAGAAATCACCTCATACTTACCATCAATAACAAGCAGACCTTTTCAAGGAAAAACCAAATGACCTTGGCCCCCATCGGCAGTGCTTCAGGAACGCTCGCCGTCAGCAGCGTGGCTCCTGCACAAACCGGCTCTGAGCCTACCTTTGTGTAGCAGGGCTCAACCCACTCACACACATCAACCTCATGCAATAACCAAGGGAATTAGGGTGGCTGACACCTGCTATTCACCACTTGCTACTGTTCTAGAACTTTTATAATGGTTTGTTAAGTATAATGTCACAAGTGAAAATTCAAATATAAGTATCATATGAAAGAAATTATATAGTAAATGTTTCTCTTTTATTTTGAATGTTAGAATAACACAAAAGTGGATGTTCATGATAGTCATTTTACCTGAACCTCAAAGACTGATATTAAATATTCAAGTCATCCAATAATTGGCAATTTTTTATCAAAAAACTGATTCTTTGAATTTAATAATTTTCTAGCTTAGCCAAATCTCTCAAATGTATTAATATCAAGAAACTTATTCTACTTGTTCAATTTCTGCTGTCTGCGGGATGCTTTTCATGAATCGAGAACAGCACAAAGCTACACTTACTAGTATAATTTGCAAACCTTTTGAAAGTTTGCATATACAATAGAGCATTTTCAGATGACAACTTATACAGTATCTACTTGTAATACTTTTTAAAAGTGAAATCTACTTTCCGTTTTCTTTTCCTAAATAAAATAACTAGTTACCTGATTTGTTCAAGGTCATACAGATAGTTAGAGGCAGAACCACAATTAAAACCCACATTTCGTGGATCTCATTTAGTTTTCCAGAGCAAATGGACTACACCTAAAACCTGTTGGTGCACTTGTCACTTGAAGGGCTCCACTTGGTCACGGTCTCTGTACCTGTCCTTCATCAGTTCCCCTAAAACTGCGTCTACCCACGGGGTCCGCTCTGGCCAAAGAGAGGGCAGAACATGTGATGGGAGCACAGACTCGGAACCTCATAGGCATGTCTGACTTCCCTCTAGGACCCGGGCCGCCACCGTTAAGAGCGTGCCAGGCCACCCTCTGGGAGGTGGGGAGACACACCTGGAGAGCTGAGGCCACCTGAGGCCAGTCAGCTCCGAGGTGGTGGCCAGCTGATGGCAGCTGTGCAAGCAACCCAGCCAGACCCGGCCCAGACCAGCAGGAGGGCCCGTCCAGACTCATGGGAATAGCAGGTGGTGGTTGTGTGACACTCAAATTGAGGGTCATCCGTCCCCCAGCGATGGCTATCCATTCATGCATATCCTACTAGGATGTGACATACAGACAGCTACCATTTAGTCTGCATGAGGATAAATATACATTTTTATGATTAACTGGCATATGTTCAAATAAAAATTATTCAAATCTAGCACTTAGTGTTTAAGACATGGTTTTCTGAGCACAAAAACTTTGTTCACATACAAATTCATTTATTGACCTATGTCATGCTTTGATGCTTTAATAAAATGACTTAAATTATACCATCAACATGGTAAGTCTTCTCTCTTTATTAAATTAACACCTCCCCCCACTCCCAGAGGGGGCAGCACGAAGAGTGAGGAGCCACGTACCCCAAGGATGTCTTCCACGAGCAGCGTCTTCCGGGACTTGGCCACGTAAGCAGAGGTGGTGGTGCCCTGGGCAATGGGCCCCGCGGGGATGAGCCGGGGTCTGCCCTCCTTGATGCCAGGGGGCGTGAACACGCACAGGCTCTGGGAGAAGAAAGAACAGGTTTGTAGGCTTTCGTGTGCCCTGGCACGGGGCAGAGACTCCTGGCGTTTCGTGACAATCCCGAGAAGGCTGGGCGCTGGGAAGAGCAGGCACGAGGGAAAGGCTCAGTGGCCAGCCTGGAGTGTCTGAGCTGAAACTCTCACATCCTCACACACAACACAGGCGAGATGCAGGACTTGAATGAATGAACGTGCACAGAAAGGCTCTTAAAATAGCCTATTTTGATATCTACAAATTAATGACATGAAAAAATAGGAAGCTGTCCTTGGGCTCAAGATGGTGTCTGACAAGAACCAGACCCGCCCTCCCTGCAGCCTGGGCCCCGACCTGCAGCGGGTCAGTAACAACAGTCAGAGGGTGCGGCTCCGTCCCTTTCCTGGAAGCCTTGCTTTCTCAGAGCCTCGTCTCATCTCACACGCAGTCCCTCCACTCTGTGAACGGGCCGCCTGCCACACGCCTGTGACGGCCACGCAGGACAGGGGTGAAGACCCTGCTCTGCACGCAAGTTCTGGACACGTCTGGGGGCACCTGCCCGTCAATTGACTGGGTGGGAGGGTCCAGTTCTGACATCATTTTCAAATAAATGTTTTTAAAAATATGATCCACTATTTTGACTAAACCAAATCATATTTCAAAGAACTACCTACTAAACCAGAATCAGAATCGCTCACCTATGGGCATCCCCTGGGCGCTGGGGCAGCACTCTGGCATGACTATATATAATAACTACACACCTTGTGTGAAAACCACTGAGGTTCGGGGGATGTCTCCCAGCCGACTTCCATCTTCGATTGGATTGCTGGGACTTCCAGGTGGAAGGCCTGGAGCAATAAGCATCAGACCACCCCTCACGCCAAACACGTCCCTCTGAGCGCAGGCCACCCCTAAGCTGGCTCTGGGTAAAGGCAGGAGTTGGGTGTGTTTATTAACTTCTTAGTTGAGTGGTTTGCAAGCTTTGTAATGTCAGAGACCCCTTTTTCGCATAAAATCTCATCTATAATCACAAGGAAGTGAGCCGAATACACCTGGCCCCTCCCCGAGTGGGAGCAGGGAGCAGGGAGAGGAAGGGTGATGCCCCGCGCCAAACATTTCCATTCACAAGAGCATCTACCTCAGTCAGGGCAGTGCTTGCGTAGTATTGGCTATTGAGTACGTGCCTGTGAAAATATACTTTAAGTGCTTCTATTTTAAAGTATTTAAATACAAGTTACACACGTTAAAGATTTTGAACATTTACAGTGCTATATAGAAGATGATGAATAACAATTTCACCCCATTTCTTTTTAAAGAGGCCAGGAATCGGAATCCCTGTCTGTAAGTGGCGATCATTCTATTTGCATATGGCAGAGGCGGCAAGGCCTTTGCTAGACCTACTGCCTCTCGTCGCAGTAATTCCGTGTGCGCCAAGACTGGGTGGAGCATAGAAACAGGAGTCAAGAACAGGAAGAGAGATGATTTCAAGACAGAAATTTACAGGATACGGTATATTTAGCTCGAAGCGGTGGTTTTCCCAAGCCCCGGGGAAGTTCATCATGAGGAGATGCTGGGCAGTGTTCCTGTCTCCACCGATGGGCTCAGGAAATGAACTGCGGGTGAACCGCGAGGTGCAGACGGCTCTTGAGGAGCTTCCCGGCTGGATGGAGAGTCAGTTCCCCAGCGAGCGGTGCCCGCAGCAGCTCTGACTTACTATCGCGGTGCTGACCTGGTTGCTTGTCGTTTTGGATGACTGTGCTCTATGCGCATTAAGAATGGGTTTAATAATATCTTCACATCATACTTAAAACAGGACAAAAAAGCAAGTCTGAAAAAACGATTTAGTGGGAAACAGAATAGACTCACGATTTATCTTAAATACCTAATGTTTAATGAAATGGGAATGTGTGATTCATTACCACCAACTAAACTGGCAATTCTACTTCCCTTGGTAAACACTTGTTCTCATTTTTCTTTCCATATGCAATTCAAAGGTCTCTTTATTCATGAAACTTCATTTTATGGGAAGGCTTTAACTCACAACCAGTTAAACTTCAGAAACTTTTTTAAGATGAAAAATTATTTAGGTGTGCCGTTATTTTTCCTAGGAGACACTAGATGGCGCTAGGTAGTAAATGAACTTAGGTCCATGAAGATGGCATGAGCTCACACGCACCTGGAACTGGAAGTAGATAGGTGACTTTGTTTGCACATTTCTTAAAAATAAACCTTCTAAAGTTTATTGCACAACTGAAAAAGCCACACAATTACTGTAAACTACTGGCTTCAAACTGGCTGCTAAAACCAACAGGCGAACAGCTATCTAGGAACTTACTTGATGTATTAAAAACTATTAATGTATTATTGGACTCTACCAGGTGTTCAGCTTTTACAAAGAGCTCTGATGGATAACACCTGAACACTAATGATAACACCATGAAGCACGCCAGGTACCAACCAGCTGGGGCATGTGAGCAGGCATGAAAGAGAAGAACTATAAGACCACTGAGGGTTGAATTGAGCCCCATCTTAATCGTGGAAACGCTGGTTTTGTCCCACAGCGTTTCTGGAGCACCTGGCAGTGACGTGCCAGGCATTGCTCTGGCCGGAACTCAGTGGCACCCGCTTCCTCTCCCAGCTCCCAGCTCCCACAGGTTCACTTCTTCTGCCCCAAAAGGCCTTTGTTTTCCCTTATCTCCTGAGCGAGGTCTTCCAAGCTCTGCTCAACGGGGCCAATCAGCCAAGCTGCTTTTAATGGGCCCACTCCCAGCACCCCATCCAATGCAGGGACTCGGGGCACCGCGGGCTCCTCCCTGATCACTTCAATGACACGTGCTGGGATTTAGTGTGGACTTCCCCGTTTCCCTTCTGGCTGCACATGCCTTGATGACAGAAAGGACTTGTTCTTTGCTTTTGTATGCTCTGCATGTAGCAGTGTCTTCTGGTACCTTGCAGGTGTTTACAGCGGGTTGTAGAATGAATAACATTCTCGTAACATTTAAGCAATGCAGGTTAAATGAACGCTTAGAAAATGTAAAACTCTTGTCAAAGTCACCAAGTAGTGAACTGCACTCACAAAATCTGCCTCCAGAATCAAACTCCTGTGAAAAGCTATGTAAACAGTGTGTTGAATATACATCCTGCTAGTTTTTAGAAAAGCCTTACTTTAGCACTGGTTTCAATGTCTTCCACTTACTGGTCTACTACGTTTTCTATCATTGTTTGCATTAAATAGAGTGACTTAGTTTCCTCGAAAACTGTCCATTTTATTTAGACTTTCACTTTTATCAGTCCAAGTACCCTCTCGTATTTTCACTGTAACCATTGTTTTGCTATTTTTTAAATTACTAGGCATATATACTGGTTTTCTCTTCTTTGTTAATTAGGTTAACAGTGGCTTATCTTAAAGTACTTGGAGTTCCTTGTGTATACAGATTTTTTTTTCTGTGTCCATAGGTTAAACTGGTCAATCCCAAGAGGCAGGGATTTTAACTGACGGCCGTGCTTCTGGTATCCAGGACAGGGTGTGATCGAGCCCAGTAAAAAACATGTCCGAGCAATATATCCATTTATTTTTGTTCTCTTATTTATTATGTTCCAAAAATGAATAAAAATGTTTAATACTTTAAGGATGTGAATTTTCCACTGTGAACTAAGTTTGTTCACAACTTTAGCAATATTGTAATCCAAGTTCATCAACACTGTTCCCTAAATATTCCACTCACTATATTTTTTTTTCTTTGTTCAAAGAGTAACTGGGCTTATTGTTAATGTTTAAATATAAAGGTTTAATTTCCTTGTTTTCAGCCATTATGGGGACCTGAATTTCTTAAATAGGGGCTAAATACATCAATGTAGGATATGACTTAAAGAAAGGGAACCCCGAGTTGGTAAATCCTAAAATAAGATACTGAATTAAATATATAACGTTTTTGATCTGTCAGCAACTAAAAACACTCCTGCATTTTCTGCCCATGTTCTGTGACTGTTTTGTGTTATAAATTTCAATGTTCCAATGTTTACTGTGTAAACTTCGGGGGAGCTTGACCTTCACTGCAGACTGAGCCCTCCACGAATCAGGTGACCTCCTTTTCCAACCTAATGCTTCTCTCCCTCCAGCTCAGCTCTGCTCTTGCTCTCGTGGCACGTGCTCTCTCTCCTCTGCATCTCTCGGGAGCAGGTTTGCTCCAGCTGAAAGGTCCTTTTCCACTGGGCCTGCTTTGTCGACATGTCCCTCTACAAAACAGAAGGAAGCCGTGGGGGGGGTTTAACCTGACTTTTTTTTTTCTTTTAATAGGTGGACCTATTCTACTTGTAATTTTGTTGTGACATATTTTTATAATGAGTTTCATAATCATACTTGATGTTTTATTCTTAGTGTTTTAATGCTATTTAGCTTGTTTTCTATAACTTTGTGTTTTCTTTACATTTTTCCTCTCTTGTAATATTAATGCAGATATTTAATTATACTACTGAAACTTCTGATATATTTAAACTTATGTTTCTTGATACATCAATTTCAGAAAATTATTTCAACTCATTCTCATTCATGAAAAAAAAGAATACTTTTATAAGTATAAGAATTTTATAATTCCTTCCATCTCTATCTCAATCCATGGTACTTATTAATCTACACTTAAAAACTTTATCTCAGTCTATTTAGATTGCATATTGTAATTTTGTCACCAAAGCATATACATTTTGTTTTCAAAGTAAGTTATTTAAGAAAAGCTTTCTAACTAACTATGATTCAAAATCCATACTCAATCTTTAAAAACATTGATAAACGTTGTATAATATGGTAACTTTCATGTGCAAAAGGAAGGAATGTAAGGAAATATACATGCATCTGCTCATCTGTGCAAAGAAGTGTTTTATTTTATTTTATGGGGTTATTGGCTTCCATTGCAGAAGTATGTCAACATCTGTTGCAAGCAATATGGCAGATGAGATCATTTGACACTCCTGAAAAGAACAACTTTAAAATGATGTAAAGGCGGTGTAGAATAATCTGCAGACCTTTTATAATGCAGTGCTGGGCTGAGGAGGAAGGAGGACCCACAACCATAGAGAAGGAAGTGTGGACAGGGATTCTGTGCGTAAGCCAACCCCAAACTGGAAGTAGCAACCACAGCTCGCCGTCTCGACGTTCCCTCGGGAAAGCCGCCTGAGGACCCGAAGACGAGAGGAAGCCTGGTCCTCTCCAGGGAAGGCTCCCGGGAGACCCTGCCCAGGGCCCCGCCGGCAAAGGGCTGCCCCAGCGGAGGCTGAAGGGCAAGCACACTCAGGGCCGCAGGGCCCCACCCGGAAACCAGAGCCTCTGGCATCTACTGCTGGAGCCAGAACGGAACTCTCCTCTGAGAAAAGTCACTGTGCGTCACGTGGGCGGAGACTGGAAGATACACCGCTTTGTAGAACGAAAACAACTCAAGTAGATGATTTGGTTTAAATGGTCTTGGATTGGCCACGCCTTCCTCGGGTGATAGGCAGAAACAAATACATAACCTGTCTCTAGGAAAGAAACCACAACATGAGCTTAAAGAAACAAATACGTGCCCTAACCGGTTTGGCTCAGTGGATAGAGCGTCGGCCTGCGGACTGAAGGGTCCCGGGTTCGATTCCGGTCAAGGGCATGTACCTTGGCTGTGGGCACATCCCCAGTGGGGGGCGTGCAGGAGGCAGCTGATCGATGTTTCTCGCTCTTCGATGTTTTTAACTCTCTATCCCTCTCCCTTCCTCTCTGTAAAAAATCAATAAAATATAATTTTTTTTAAAAGAAAATAATTTAAAAAAAAAAGAAACAAATACATAACCTGTCTCTAGGAAAGAAACTGCAACATGAGCTTAAAGAATACCCACTGTGGCCCTAACCTGTTTGGCTCAGTGGATAGAGCATGGCCTGTTGACTGAAGGGTCCCAGGTTCGATTCGGGCCAAGGCCAAGTACCTTGGTTGTGGGCTCGATCCCCCAGTAGGGGTTTTGCAGGAGGCAGCTGGTCGATGTTTCTCTCTCATCGATGTTTCTAACTCTCTATCCATCCCTCTCCCTTCCTCTCTGTAAAAATCAATAAAAGTATATATTTTTTAAAAAATACCCAATGTAAAAGGCCCAAGGAATAATATGATTCATAGTTAAAACTGGAAAACATAAAACACATGAGGAAATAAGTCACTTTCTATAAAAGATGGAAGAAATGAAAGCCAGGAAGCTGTAAATTCAGAAAGAATATAAAACAATATAAAAAAGGTATAATTCATCTATTTCAAGAAATAAAAGATAAGTCCAGGGGATATAACACTATCATGAAGGACTGAGACAAATGGAAAACAACCAAAAAGTAACTATCTAGTCAATCTACAGAGATGACATAGACCAACGTGAACCCTTTATCCAGCCACAGCTTCTTTAGAGAGCGTGTGAAACAGACACATTCAGAGAGGCAACCACGGCTTCCAGCACAGGTGCTCGTTTAGGGAAATCCCAGGGGCCAGAGGAAGGAGGACTCCAGATGGGAGAGCAGAGATGCAAGAAGTGAGAGCGAAGGGCAGCTGCGGACACAGCTAAGGAGACACTCAAGGGAACTTCACAGTGTCTCCCACCCACAGACACCGGCTGTGGAGCAGCCAGGGCCTCGCCCCCACGTCCATTACACAAACGGGAAAATACAGCCCCCCCCACCCCGATTCACCTCCCAGGAGACCAGCCCTCTGCCTCCACGAAGCTACGTTCTACCACGCAAATCACAGCTACGTGGGCAATGACAGCCTCCCTGAGCTCCGAGAGGAAGCAGGTGCCATCAGGAAAGTATAACAGGGTGTGACCCAGGAGGCCATAGAAAGCTGCCGTCTGCTGGGACCCCTGCTGCCACCCCAGGGGTCCGCCGTGGCACAGGACACAGCTTCCCTCAGGTGTGGGGACAGCAGAGGTGCAAGGCCCGGGACCAAGAGAGAACACAGCACATCAGCTGACCTCGGGAGTTTAGGGCGAGGAGCCAGGGGAATGCGGAGAGGATGTGATGTCATCCTCGACCAAGTTACAAAGGTGGATGGTGAGTAGAGTGAGAGGATTCTGATCTACATGGTAACAGCTTGGCTCCTGTAGATGCAACGCGCTTTCTAATCACACAGTAGAGGAGGCTACTTCCCTGAGGTCAGCGTAGAAAGGAGTCTGCAGACCAGGAAGTGCAAACACAGCTGAGTAACTAAGAATGTCACTCAGCTGTGCTTTCACTTTCCGCCCGGCAGGCATGGCTCAGGGGTTGAGCATCGACCTATGAACCAGGAGGTAACAGTTCAATTCCAGGTCAGGGGACAGGCCCAGGTTGCAGGTTCGATCCCCAGTGGGGGGAGTGCAGGAGGCAGCCGATCCATGATTCTCCCTCATCATTGATGTTTCTCTCTCTCTCCCCCTTCCTCTCTAAAATCAATAAAAATATATTTAGCCCTAACCGGTTTGGCTCAGTGGATAGAGCATTGGCCTGCGGACTCAAGGGTCCCAGGTTCGATTCCAGTCAAGGGCATGTACCTTGGCTGTGGGCACATCCCCAGTAGTGGGCGTGTAGGAGGCAGCTGATAGATGTTTCTCACTCATCGATGTTTCTAACTCTCTATCCCTCTCCCTTCCTCTCTGTGAAAAATCAATAAATTATATATATATATATATATATTTTTTTTAAATACAAAAAGAACATGGGTCCGGAATCTCGATCCCCGCTCTGAGAGCCCAGCCCTTCTTGGGGCTCCCACACACTATGACCCCCTGGCCTCTGGGGCCACCCTACCCCCCTCTGCCAACTAGGTCTCCCCATTGTCCTTCCTCTGAGCAGAAGAGGCTTCCTAGAGCGGCGGCCTCAGTGTTGGGGTTCCCATCACTTCTTTTTAGGTAAACAGCCGGAATGCTGAGGCCCAGGTCCAGGTTTCAGCAGAGAGTCTGAATGGCCCCAGTGTGGGTCACAAATAGCTGTGGCTGAGAGACGGGTGACATGGGGACAACAGGCCGGCGTGGCCAGCCCTGCGGGTGCAGCTCCCGGGGAAGGAATCGAGAGAGGCAGGCTCCCTTCCACCCGGAGCTCTATGCCCGGCAGTAAGTAAGAATAAATGCAATCATACCAGAATTTTCTAAAAGGAATTCTCACTTTTTAATAAAACTCCCAACATTTAGAAATAAAAGTTTAGAATGGACAGAACACAGTGAGATCCACTGTTTCTTCAGTATCTGAGCCAATCCCAGTGCCACGGGCCTGGGAATCTAAGGCAGGTGGCGGCAGCAGTGGGACCTGGGTAATGCCACTCAATAAGCACTCTCGGTGGTGCTGACACGAACGGCACCAGGAAAGATGCTGGCTGAACACAGAAATGGCTGAGGAAAGGTCCCTGAAGCCCTTCCAGTCCCGTAACGGTGACTGCAAAGCAGAGCGCCCAGGCTGAGGAGGCGCAGGGTCCCCGCGAGCTAGGGAAGTCAGCCGTCGGCACTGCCTGCACCTGGCTTTCCTGCCTGCCCTGCTGTGTACTCACGAGACCACCACAAACCCTCGGAGCACTGCGTCTCCACTCCCATCCCCGTCTGACGTCACATGAACAGCACAGGGCCCTGCGGATCACACTGCAAAAATACACGCCAAACCTCAAATCACAACACCTAATGCACAGCGGGAGTGTGCCAAATCCATTTATAACTGAGTTGCATATATTTAAGCTCTGAGTGTAAGTATCGTCAGCTCAGAACATCCTCCTAAAACATGTGTGTGTTTAATGCCGCAACAACACTGAGAGGCCGGGAACTGAACACCGTGAGATGCTCTGCAGGACGCCCGGTGAACCAGCGACACGGCCGGTCTGCCCCCGAGGAAGGCAGCGCAGCCACGCCAGGGCCGACCCAGGCCCATGCAGCTCAGGGAGTCACTGCCTACAAACTCTCCCAGAACTCTGAGTCGTCTTCAACAATCTAGAAGTCACATTTCATTCTATTTCTTAAAAAAGGTTCTTTATTGAGAGGGAGAGGGAGAAGCCTCAGTGTGAGAGGGGAGCATCAACTGGCTGCCTCCTGGACTCCCCCTACTGGGGACCGCGCCCACACCAAGCAGGTGCCCTGCCCTGGAATCGACCAGCAGCCTTCCAGTGCAGGGGGCTATGCTCCACCAACTGAGCCACACCGCGGCGCAAAAAACCACCTCACATTTTAACAACGCGGAACTTTTGTTCTCGTTTTATCCTGCTGCAGATTGTGTGCAGAAAGGCCGGTCCACAGGGATGAAATAACTTCTTCACAAAACCATAATCTAGAAATGTCATTTGTAAGGTAGACCACACACCAAAACCAAAGCAATCGATCAATTATAAGACTTTACACCTCACTGTTGCCATCTGGTAAAATTCTCGGCTGGTAACAACCACATGTAGAAACAAACGGTAAGATGAATTTCAAGCATTTCATTCCAATATGTCTATTACGTTGTTAACATCACAGTTTACTTTTCTAAAAAGCTTATAACATTTTCTTAACTAGGGCGCCAAAATCTAAATGTAGATACTTACATTATTGCACTCGCCAAGGAAATACAGTGCAAATCCATCCGCTTTTGTGGCTGCCAAGGCAATGAGAGAGGAAGAGACTGATGGGAACAGAAGACACAGCACGGGAGCCCTCGAGGCGAGGCCTCAGCACCGAGACTGTCAACGGGTTTCTAACAGTCACCGGTCGTGCGGCAAACTGAACAAAATGGTCTATGGCGTCACTCATTTACATAATTAGAGCGTTTTCATTTACTTCATCAGCCACTGCAAAGTTTAAGATGAGCAGTCAGCGTACTATGTAATAATGTATTTGTCAAACTTGAAAATCAGAATTATTGAAAAATATTTTTAAAATCTGAGTTATATTTAATTTTTAAAGTATTAAAAATACTAGAATTGATTTTCATAATATTGAATAACCAATATAAGCATCAGCCAAAAAGAATTCTGCTCGCATCTGCATCTCCTCACTGAGGAGAAGGTGACTAAACTTTTCTAAAACTGCTTCAGGGTCGGCTGACGGCAGCTCCCACAGCAGCGAACAGAGTAAGGCTTAGAGGAATGCCCCGAATTTAACTCCTTTCCGTCCGTGTGGCCTGTCTCTACCGCAGCTTTCTCATCAGTCAGATGGTCATAATAGTATATAAAGTTGTCACCTGCCCAAATAAGTTTAAAATGCTGCTTCTTCCTTAAAATTAATGACTTCTTGTATAAATGTGATTTAGTTCAATAAAACGATACAAAGAAAGCCAGGTTTGAATAGGAAGGCACAGTACATTCCATTAAACTTCAGGCAGATGCTGGTTTTGGAATTCAGACAGTTTCAGAATAAAGTATTTTCACTTCAAACGTAGCCCATGAGTCGAAGGAAGCACATGGCGCCCTCTGCCCTCAGCAGCACATGGCTGTGCCCTTCTCTGCCCAGCAGCGGTGAGCGGCCGTCCTCCGTCCTCCGCCCGAGCCGCGGTCTCACCTGTTCTGATGATGCTGCTCAGCTCGTACAGCAGCAGCTGGTTGTCCCCGCCCGTGTCCAGCCGCTGCTCGATGTAGCTGTTCAGTTCATACACGACTCCCTGCATGTTCGTATCTTGGTACTTTAATAAAAACATACACGGCACAATTAAATAGAATAGAATAAAAATTCCTTCGTTCATAAAACATACTCTGTACGGCTTTACATACTCTTACACAGCATGGTTTAATATAGTCTACGATAAAACAGGACAAAGTAAAACTGCTATGAGCTACTTAGAATTAGCATAGACCCCATGCATGCCTATTTATATCAAATGTCACAAATCGCAGCTGTGTTTCTCAAGTTTTACATATAATGCTGCCGGCAACTTCATCAGTGAAAATGGTCCAAGTCTGCCAAGTGAGTGAGGCATCGTAAGAAAAGCCAGCCTCACGCACCACCTGGGGGAAACCGAGTATCAGCATCCGGCCTCTGCCTCAATGCGGCTGCCACCCAGTCCCACCCCCACTCCCCACCTTCACAGCCACTGCAGCCAGGGCCGTCCCACGGCAAGTCCAGGCCCTAGGAGAAGGTGGCAGCCGAATCTGCGCTGCCCCCAGCACAAGCCACGCCGGGTCTTCTGTAAAATCACTGAGAAGCAGGCTCCTCACAGCAGCTTCCCTGAGCTCCAGCACACTCCCCTAGGCCCCTTCTCCTAACACCAGCCCGGGTGAACTTGGAAAATAAAATTCTGTCACTCCCGGCTCCCGCTGCACACAGCTCTCTGATCCCTTGTCCTCGGCCCCCTGGCCCTTCAGCACGGAGCGCTCTGAGGAAGCAACAAAAGCATGCCTTTCCCTACGGTGGTCGAAGAAGTGAGGTTCCCCGCACTTACCCTGCTGACTTCCTTCGGCACCGGCTCATCTGGGGGAGGGAGAGGAAGGGAAAACACAATTAGAGCTCGGGCAGGGTCATTCCATAAACAGAAGGCTTCACTGCAATGCTTCCTTGTATGTAATCTAAGAATCTGGGTCTTAACATCTGTAAAATAAGTGTTAAACATAGGAACTATAGAGCTAGATGTACATATGACTTTTGGAGAGACCTGACATGACCCGACTTGCTTGTCACTTCACCATCATCTATAAATGGCTGTACCTGCAAACATGGCTACACTGTGGCTTATTCAAATATGCGCACAGAAAAGGGTGTGCAACATTTGCAACACTCTAAACAGCACAGCCCCCGTGAACATCGGCAGCACCCGAGCACTGGTGACGTCAGGGCGGGTTCCGGTCTGAAACAGGACAGGCCCCTCTCCCTGCGGGGCCGGCCACATGGCAAGAGCATACTGTGTGACCAGCAGGGCACGAGAAACAAGCTGGCCCAGACCCCATTTGAAGCCACTGGCTCTGAGTGTCCCAGCCCAGGTCACTGGCTCTCACACAAAGAAAGAGTGTGTGTGTGGCCTGCCCAGGCCCGCACGGGGGCAGCCTCCTGTTTACACTGTGGCTCTCCAGGGCTGTGGAGCCATCAGGAAAAAGGCAAGGATGCCCACTTGCAACACTTCCACTCAACACAGAGCACAGAAGTTCTAGTCAGAGTAATTAGGCAAGAACAATAAACAAAAGGCATCCAAATTTGAAAGTAGTAGTAAAATGATCTCTGTAGTGATACGATCTCACAGGTAAAAACCTGAAGATTTCACACACACAAAAAACACTTAGAATTCAACAAAGTGATCATATTCAACAAGTAGCAAGATAAAAAAGTGAGCACACAAAAACCAGTTGCATTTCTATACACTAACAACAAACAATTCAAAAAGGAAACTAAGAAAAAATCCATTTACAGTAGCTTCAAAAATAATGCAGCACCTAGGAATTAACCACGGAGATGGAAGACTGTACAATAAAATCCACACAGTATCGGTGGAAGGGGTGCCAGGAAACAAGAAGGCACAGCCCTGTCAGGGACTGGAAGGCAAGGCTGCCATGGGTCGCAGGCACCTCCATCGTTTATCCAGAGAAAATCCGCAGGGGAGCCTCTAGCAATTGAAAATAATATTTAAAATAATCATGGTAATATAGTATTTCTCTTTAGATTACATACGTAATTAGTCCCTTTACCATGCTCAACAGCAACAAGGCCATAGCAGAATAAAATTACAGCTTCCTTTAGAGAATGTATCCTTAGGTACCAAAGAACGGCTCATTTTCTGTGGTAAGCAATAAATAAATTAGTCTAAAGACGATAGTTTCCAATTAATATAAAGCCTATATTTTAATATAATGTGCTAAGAAATACAACCTTATCTTGCTATCAACCCTGTGTCAAAATTAATCTCATAATAGACATGAATGCTTTTAAATTATTTATTCACTCATTCAATCTTTTATTCATTAAGTGAGATTTAATGTGGCCCATTATGTCCAACACTGCAAAAGATATTAGAGACGCAGCCAATGCATGGAGAGCTCTGTTACTAAAAGGGATTAAATGATTCCTTCTTAAAATTTAAAAGCTAGTACACAAAATCTCTCTCTATGAAATGGAAGCGAAGTAGGATAAGTATGACATAGGGGCACTTTTCACACGTATTAACACCAGTCTCAGACAGACTCAGAAGACTCACAGACCTCCATCAGAGTGAAATTCAAATCTCACCAGAGACAAAAACATGAGATAAGTTGGTCAACATATAAAAGTACTCCAGTAAAAGCAATTAACGCCAGCATTTCTCATTCTAGGGTGTGACTTAAGACAGCACGAATGTCACTCAGAATTCTCTGAAGCTGGAAGCAACTGAATGTGCTTCAGCAGAGAAATGGATAAATATCACTCAGCAGCACAAGGCACACACCAGTGATACGCGCAGCCACATTCTGCTAAGAATTCAGAGGTGGGCCCCACATTTCAATGTAGAGTTGTCTGAACCCAAATATATTTACCAAACGTTATAATATTGCTAGAGACACTGTCTTCTAAAAATCACGGCTTTATTCAATCCACAAATTATGGGAGCAGAGCAAATTATTGAGAGTAAATAGAGAGCACAAATGAAATGACAAAAATACATCACTGGAATCCAATAAAAAATATTTTCTTACTGAAATGGTAAGGCTGGGAGAAGTATCATTAACAAGCCCATCTCAAGTAATTCTCATACATATTGAATTTGGGAAGTGAATATGGTTGCTGATCTGTTTTAGACGAACTCTCTAAACGAAAAGCATCAGATACACTCTCAAATGTGGAGTTTTGACTATGATGGATCTAAGGACCCTGGGCTTTTAAAACCCTGAGCCTGAGATCGATTGCAAAAACATTTATAATTTCCTGAAGGCAGACCCTTCCTTTCATCACTGTCGCCTCCTGGTGGAGGTGTGAAGTGTGGGGGCAGCCTTTCCTGGGCCTGTCTGCTGGCTGCCTGGGCTGCATGAGTCACTGGGGATCCTCTCTCCTGGTGGGCACCAGATTAGCACGGGGGCTTCCCTTCCTGAGTCTCTTCTCCCAACACACACTCATGTTCTACCACGTGCCACAGCCAAGAGGAACAGTTACCTACTCCACTCGGAAAGATGCCACGAGGTTCTATGAAAGTTTCCAGCAAAATGTTACTCCTTGATAGTTCACCAACACGGGAGAGAGACCGTTTTTGCTTTGGTTTTAAAGACTGAGCTACTGTGCTAAGACATCTGCAGGTACCTGGCTAGCATGGCTCAGTGGTTGAGGGTCGACCTAGGAACCAGGAGGTCAGAATTAGGTTCCCAGTCAGGGTACATGCCCGGGTTGTGGGCTCAATCCCCAGTGTGGGGGTGTGCAAGAAGCAGCCAATCAATGATTCTCATCATTGATATTTCTATCTCTCTTCCCTTCTCCCTTCCTCTCTGAAATCAATAAAAATAAAAAATTTAAAAAATTTCTACTTGCTAGATATTTTCAAATACACAGTCAACAAATCTGAAATAATCTTATTGTTTATCATCTGTCTTCCCTATAAGAAAATGACTTTGAGGGGATCAAGTTTATATATTGCTTATTCCACAATTACATACCCAGGTATTCAATAAATATCTATTTGTTGACACACTGAATGGCAAGCTAGAGCAATGAGGAGAACCTGGTCACATTCCTGCTATAGTCACCACTCAAATAAATGTTTCTAGAAATTATTATCCAACCTTTGGTTAAATAATCCAGGCCAATGTTAAATCTCCAGGAAGCTTTTAAGGGATAGATGGTGAACTCGTTTGCTTTTAGTTCAGATCAAGGTATATGACACATTTTCTGGTTTTGTATTACAAAAAAAAAAAAAATGATATGATAGTTCTATTTAAGTGAAAGTGTAATTTCTGTATCTGAGAGAAGGTTTTTCAGAGAAAGGAGAGAGAGCACCAGATGAAGTTCCAAGTAAACCATTTCAACGACCTGTTTTTTCCTTCCTTGTGATGTGTACTAACAGTCACTGCCCCACTCATCAGCGTCCTCTCGCTAAAACCATCTACCATTGCAAACTGATTCATGCCCTGGTCACTGAATCGCCTACAACGCACACATGAGCATAGAAAACATGTCACATACAAAGCAGAACAAACGCTATTTAATCTGCAATTTAGGAGCATAATTGAAATCTCACTCCTTTCAAGCATGAAATATTTGAATGAATATTAAATCTTATTTCTAGAATGATGGACAGGCAAGAAATACATAACAGATACATTCTTTGAGTAAAAAAAGAAAAAGTAACTTCATGTATTTGATGAAACATATTTAAGGCAGCTGAAAGCACCAATATTTTTATTATTAATTATTTGACATTTATAAATACACCAATAGCTACGTGGTCTGCTACTGAATAGACATAGAATTATAATAAAAAGTATTGGCCATAAAACATAGCACTGCTGCTCATAATTTCTATTTTTTATTGCAGAACTTTTTCTTTCTTTCTCTTATAGAGACATAAATCAGTCTCTATGCGGTCTCCACTTCCAGTCCTCGGGTATGAGGGTTCTCTCCTGCGAGTTTCCAGTGATATTTAGGAAGTTTTTCTGTGTTTTAGCTGTAATGCCAGTTTGTTCCCGGGAGCATGTCCGTGCACATCCGCTTACTCTGCTGCCATGTTTAATCTCCGCTGCCCATAGTTTTTAGATCATTTGAGTTCCATCAATCCCTCTCTTGAATACCAAATGCAGAAACTTCAAAACCAGAGTCAGGAGCATCAGCGCTGAGCACATGCTAGCAGCACCCGCCTAACAGCACAGCATCTCAACAATGATCCTTCAGCGTTAAATATAGCGCTTTGCTACACTACACACATTCCCAGAAGAACAGTATTTATTTTGGTGTTTTTAATATAAAAGGTCTTCGTTTATTTAAAATCATATTTAAAATTAATTTCCACTCTGAAACAATATTCTTAGAAATGAATATTTGGCCAAATGCAATTTATATAAAACCAAAATTATATGACATTACTCAGATCCTCATATTAATATGTGCATTCAATCTGGCAGGAAATGGACTTCACATCCCTCCTGAGCCCACATGTCTTTTTTCATCAGAGCTGCCTCTTCCGTGGACGGATCTGAATGACAATCTAATGCCAAGTCATCAGTTTTCCTACTGTGCCCAGGTAAAAACTGCGTGAAGACTTCTTTTGGCAAAATATATTAACATAAATATCGCTGTGCAATACAAATCATTTTTTAGAATCATTAATAATCATCATTAAATAAAACCAAGTCTAACATTGCATTTTCAATGTGTTCACATCTAAATAAATTTTCAAGAATTACCTGTCAAGATACTTATTTTTAGTCAAGGATCTTTCTTTTCTGTCTAGTCCCCCTCACTCTAACATCAAGTTATCTCTTTAAACAGAATAAAACGATCACAAAGCTGACAAGCTACTATCTGTCTACCATGTTTCCTTTCCAGCGTGTATTAAATGCCTGTCCTTTGTCACCATAAAGTGGAAAATAATCCACATTCAGTCTGAACGAGATCTCACCTTCTGCTTTGTTGTTCTTCCTCCTCAGCCATTTCTCTACCGTCTCTGTACTAACACTTTCAGATACAAATTCATCTAATATCTGAGGGTGAAGAGAAAGATATGCCTTCACTTTTTCATCTGTCAAACCTGTAAAGGAATTGAAAAGAATAAAATTAACCCATATGACATCTTCATATACATAAAAGACATAATAATACTAACTGATTTAAAATATGATAAGTACAGGAATATAAAGATACGTATGCACACAATGGAGTAATGCCCAGCATAAAAAGGGAAGATGTTCTGATACACGTACCCCATGAAGAAGCCTTAAAAACAAGTCAAACAGGCCAGTCCGAGGACAGACATTCACCCTGCCTTTCCATCCACACGACATGCCGAGGGGCAGATGCACGGAGACGAGGCATTGAGGGGTCCGGGCTTGGGAAGGGGAGGATGGGGAAGTGTTGCTTAATGGGTACAGTTCCTCCTGTGAGGGAAGGCATGTTCTGGAAGTAGAGAGAGTGATGACTGCACACCGTGAGTACAATCAACGCCCCTGAAGGGCACATTGGAAATGGCAAAAATGGCAGTTTTCTGTTATACATGTTACCACCATAGAAAACAGAAAAAGAAGTTAGAACCTCAGTGATTTAAAACTTCAGACATTACATCATGAAACAGCTGTGTTCCGACGGTCCCTGGCAACGTTCCACTTGAACTGAGGCCGTGTCCCAGCTGCGCAGTCACGCCCTACAGAGTACTCATGTGCGGTGTGTGCACAGCCACCCTGGGTTTAATACCCCCGGTAAAGGACGCTCTGTAACAGCACCAAATGGGAGAACGTGCCAGGGGCACATGTCAGGTCCCGGACATGTTTCATGAGTACGTTCTTATCATTGATTGTTTACAACACAAAATCGACCCTTGCTTGGGGCACTGAATCTGTCTGTGCAGAGTCATCGTGAAATGTATTCACCGATATTCTACGTCCGCCGTCTATTTCACCGAAATAATTTCCTCGTCTAATGACAGCTGCCCCTTAATACACCCAGGATTTTCAAAGCACTTCCACATGTTTTCATACTGAATACATAAAATCACGTTTTGCACTTGGTGCTTCTGTTGCTATGCCATTTTGTGAACTCCAAATCCCAAACAGGTTACCCACAATTATTACTCAGTAACGGTAGTTGTTTCTACTACTGCACCCTCACTGTAAATTAGTCAATAGAACTGCCATCCTTAGGGATGGTTGGGTGAAACAGACAATAGACAGATTCTACTTTGTAAAGAAAAACGTAGCCCTAACCAGTTTGGATCAGTGGATAGAGCACTGTCCTGAGAACTGAAGGGTCCTGGGTTCGATCCTGGTCAAGGGCACATGCCCGGGTTGCGGGCTCGATCCCCAGTTTGGGGTGTGCAGGAGGCAGCCGATCAATGATTCTCCCTCATCATTCATATTTCTCTCTCTCTCTCTCTCTCTCCGTCTCCCTTCCTCTCTGAAATCAATTAAAATATATTTTTAAAAAGAAAAATGTAAACCTGTCTGACCCCAGCGAACAGGCTGGGTGCTTCCCACCACATGAGGCACAGGATTCCCGGGTGTGACTCTGCAGGGGACGGCAGTCACGACTCTGACGGCTCTACAACAGGACAGTGTAACTGAGGAGGCGGGTGACTTCTTTCAGCGAAATCAGTACTTAGGTGACTTAAACAACAGATTTATAGAGAGAGCTGGGGATAAAGGGAGAGATATGGAAATATAGATTTAGAGACAGAGATGGATATTGGTAATAGATTTTTTCAATGAGAACCTATGTTCACCCTGCAAGAGCCCCAATGCTGTAAAATTCTACTTAAGAAATTCTACAAGGGGTGACACATCCGACTCATTAAAGAGAGAGCTCCCCTGACGAGCAAGTTGCCGTCCCAGACACAAAAGAAACAGGGTGTTAAGGGAGATGACCTCTGACTTGACCTTCAGGAAGACAGACAATGCACAGTGCATGCTTTTGGAGCATCTCCCCCACAACACAGCGGGGAGCTGATGCTTGATTCCTTCTTTACACTTCCTCCCATCACTCTTGTGGCCCAACTTTCCAGTTCTCATCCTAACGGCCTGTGTGTGCCACTTCTGCTTTCTCTTCAATGAGCAATGATGATGGCAGAGAGATCTAAACCAGGAGTCTTCCTATACGTGTGATCTCTAGTCCTCGGATGTTCTTCCACCACCACCAGCTCCCTCTTGACTCAAAACTCAATGACCCTTGTCCTCCCTATTTCTTCCCAAAGTGGTTTTAACTCCCACTTTCCTCTTCCTGTTACTCTCCCTTTTCTCAGAAACCCGGGCGGAAAATAAAGAGCCATATTGACTCATCCCTCCTTGTCATCTCATTTCATGTTAGGGATTATTATTCAAGTCTTATTTGCCAAATTACAAAATTACACATCTGACAAAATAGACAAAGAATGCTTCAAACTCAACAAGAAAAACGAACCAATTAAAAGTGAATCCAGTATCTACACAGATACTTCACCAAAGATAATAAATGAACGGCAAATAAGCACATGAAAAGATGCTCAACTGTCAATGAACGGAAGGGGAAGTAAGTTATTCAAGTCTTATTTGCCAAATTACAAAATTACACATCTGACAAAATAGACAAAGAATGCTTCAAACTCAACAAGAAAAACGAACCAATTAAAAGTGAATCCAGTATCTACACAGATACTTCACCAAAGATAATAAATGAACGGCAAATAAGCACATGAAAAGATGCTCAACTGTCAATGAACGGAAGGTGGAATAAGTGAGATTTCACGACACCCCTAGCAGAATGGCTACAGGCACAGTCACCGAGTACCAGCTGGTGGTGAGGCTGCAGCGTAACAAGGACCCTCACTCGCTGCTGATAAGAATGCAAAGCAGTGGTCACTTGGAAGCCTTCCTGGCAAGTTCTTCTAAAGCTAAGTACAGTCTGACCACATGACCCAGAGGGCTCACTACTAGGGCGTCACCTAACTGACACGAAGATGTATGTCCGAACAAACGCCTGCATGTGACTGCTGATAGCAGCTCTACTGATGATCCTTCACCCAAACAGCAAGTACAAGGTGCCCTGCAATAGCAGGCACACACGCTGTGGCCTGCCCATGGCATTAGATGTGATTTAGCATTAAAAGCAAGCAGCTACCCAGCCTTGAAGAGATGAGTCACTCCAAAATGCACAGTGCTGAGGGCAGTCTGAAAAGGCTGCGTACTATCAAATCCCAACCATACAACATCCTGGGGAAAGCAAAACGAGAGCGAGAGCACGAGAAAGTGAGAGAGAGAGAGAGAGAGAGAGAGAGGGGACCACTGGCTGCCAAGTACTGCACAGGGAGGGAGGAAGACCGAATGGGTGGAGCACGGGGCCGGGGTGGGGGGGTAGGTGCGGCTGGTCACAGGGCACAGTCTTCTGGCCGTAAGATCAGTAAGTTCTGAAGCCCTAATTCAGGTACAGCAGGGTGACTGGAATGAACACTGCTGCATTACATACTTGACAGTTGGTAACAGAGGACTGAGTGATCACCGACTTTGAAAAATGCAGATAGAATCAATGTTATTAACACAAACCAGCTGGTAACCATAACCAAAGACTAACGTCAAACTCTGCCACCTGAAGGTGAATGTGATGTCTCAGATGTTGGACAACAGCACGAAAGGCAGACAAGCCTGACGCTGCTTCGCTCTGCACCTCAGCCCTGGCACATGCAGTGAACCTGTGGGCAAACCGCAGCTACCGAAGAGCAAGCACAACCTACGCAGGTAAAGTAGCTCTACAAAGAGAATTTAAATCTACCACTCTACGCTGAGATTTTCAGGAAGCGTTTGATAAAACGTTAAAAAAAACTAATGATAAATAGTGCCATCGAAATAAACCTTTCGTAGCATGCAATATTTTAAGAAAGCTTTAAAATAGAAAGGAAAGAATATAGGTTTCATGTGATACAATTTAATCTAGTGAAATAAAAAGAAGAGAAAATGGAGAAAAGAGAGGCACAAAAAAAGTGGAATAATATACAGGCAGATTTTGAATTAATAACCTCAGTGGTTTAAAACTTGGATTTAGATAAGATAAGCAGAATTAACAACTGTAATTTTTAATGGTGATTTAATACCCTGGTGAAATACTTTAAGTATTTCCATCAGTTTTTTCATTCATCTAAGTGTAAAGGAATTACACCCTAAAGGTGAATGTATGCAAATCCCATATGTTGGCGATTTCTAGGCACCATTTCTTTTTATTGCTTGTCCAATGAGATTTTTAAAAACCATAATATTAATAAAGAAATTTGAAACAAAGAAAATAAAAAAGTTTACTCAAAAAAATGTATAAGTCATACATTTTCTTTCTTTGCTACAAAGCATACCTTAAGATTTTATTATAAGTTGACCAAGAAATAGCATTTCGTGCACTTCCTCTATAAAAGTGTATCACTATTTATACTTCTCCAGTCAATGCAGTAATTCATTTAAAAATATTGAGTTCTTACAGTGTCAGGCATTATATAACGTCTTAAATCAGGGAACTCAAGAAATAGTAAGAAGATGAGTAGTCAGACACATACCAAGCTGAAAGGTTAATAAGATGCATAAATGAACATAAAGTGTATCGGACACGATCAACTCTAAACACTGAGATTCTTGATTCACTCAATAAATGTTTGTTGAGAGCTTCTATGAACCAGACATATCTCTGTGGTTGATATCTAGGAAACATATCCTTAACCTTGTGGAATTCTGAAATTATCTTTAATGCCGGTTAAGGCTAGCCAACAGAAACTAGTGACAAATTAATGAGGCAGTAGGCAATGTCGAAGGTGACCCAGCGTTTCCAGCTCAGGTGACTGACGGGAATATGAAAGGCAGAGGGCAGTGACAGGTTCGTGGAAAAGAAGCTGGTTTGCGTTTCGGACCTGCTCAACTGCAGGTGACTGTTGGGCCACCTATATGGTGACATCAACGAGCCAGCAGGAAATACTAATCTGCAGCTCAGAAGTCACCCATATTGATTATCGATTTACAAACACATTAGATTGCCCAGGAATACTGCAGTGCATCCCATATGGCAAAAGAAAATGTTAATTCCCATCTTCAC